GAATTCGGTGCACTCTATGATATTTTTACCAAGAAATGGACTAGGTATGGAAAAAATTGAAGCTTTGCTGGTCTTTTGAGCTGGGATTGAGGTATGTGTGGTTTGATTGGTTTTCAGGATTCAACCGGCGGGGGAGGCGCCGTCGCATAGGGCTGCTCATGCTGCTGCGGTGGTTGGCACCATGGTAGTGTTTCAGGTGATGGTTGCAGACTTGAGTGGACTTCTACCCATTTTTCTTTTGTTGCTTTTAGGGTTAAGTGGAACTGGATTCTTTGTTTGATGTTAGGGTGGAATAGGACCTGCTGGGCATTCTACTGATGACCTCTATGTTCTAGATATCACCAATGATAAGTATAAGTGGCACAGGTGGTGTTCAAGACGACTGATTTATTTTGATGGACGACTGCTTGTTAGGTTTTTTTGATTAATGAGGTGTGTTTCTGGGTGATGTAGAGTTGTTGTTCAGGGAGCTGGTCCGGGGCCTCGGTATGGCCATGCTATGGACTTGGTTGCGCAGCGTTATCTTGTGACTGTGAGCGGGAATGATGGTAAGTTACGTACCTTTGACTTTTTCACATATTGATATTGATGAGAATGGAGTTTATGTTCTTGTTTGGTTGAAGAATGTTTAAGAATTGCCTGAAGTTTTTCTTAGTTGAGCAGAATTAGCAAAATGAGTTACTTCATTTGGTTTCTTAATGCAAAAGTGTAACAGTTATGATGAAAAGTAATGATTTTTCTAGAAGCAGTTATTGATTAGTAACTGGCCATGATCTTCCATACTTTAGATTAGATGACACAATAGTTCTTGGAGGAGAGATAAAAGCAGGAGTGTGAAAGTTCTTTGTTTTCAAATTAAATTTTCTTACTTTTTTTGAATTTTGAAAATGATAAAAACTTTATGAACTGTGAGAATAAGTGAACTAGTTATGTAGTATAGATAATTAAATTTGTACTTACATTTGCTTTTGTAATCACCGTTTGGTGTGTCGATTTCAATGGTGGTCAAAGGATGAATATGATTTTGGCTTATTATTAATGTTAATGTATTTGATAGTAGTATATTTGATTTAATGTAGAGTAGCATGACTACTTGCTGACTAAAAGTAAGATGAATTGCATTTTCTTATATGTTGGTTGAGTATTTGGCATAGAATTGCATGCCATACTGGTTGTGTTTTCATTGTAATGTATGTTTATGGTCTAAACATGACATTATCATCATCATGAATTCTTAATCTCTACTAGTTGCATGAGTTTTGCATGATGCGTTAAAGCTGTTTTTTATTTTTAGTCTCTCTCTTACTAATCCTTTGGCATTTAGATTTATCTAGTTATCATTTGGTACATTTTCTAACTAGCACTGTATTTGTCAATGCCAGCTAAATTCATTTTTTAATACTTTATCTTTAATAAATGCTGCCCCCATCATTCTTCTTAACTACTCATCCCTATCTATCTTTCATAGTATCGGCTTACATTCATTTTTACTTCATCATTTCTCCCACACTCATTTTGACTACCCTTGATTTTAATACTAACAAACTCTTGAATACATGCCAAATAGCTGGCCTAATTGCATTTTTTTTGAAAATTTCATCCAATTTCTTCAATATTTGTGGAAGAGCTAGTCCTGCAATTATTCTGGATCGATATGCTCTTAACTAGTTTCTTTTGAGCAATCATATTAATGAAGTCATTTTGACTATCATGACTCAGGGAAGAGGGTCCTATCTGATGCTTGGGCTTTGGATACTGCACAGAAACCATATAGATGGCAAAAGCTCAATCCTGAAGGAGATAGACCATCTGCTAGAATGTGAGAATCTATATCTTAATGAATTATGCTATCGTTCAATCTTAATCTACAGCCGCCATGTTGCTAATGGATATTTGTCATTTACAGGCTTCATATTTATGCAAATTTGTTTATTTTCAGACTTTCAAAAGTTTATGTAGTATTTTATTAATTGTGTGCAAGTTGTGTGAGCTTTATAATTTGTTTAGCTAAATTAATGATCTGATCAAACAAAGCCTTTTGAAGTGGTTGTGTTGGATATTATTACTGTGATTCAATTTCTTCGTGTATTTCTGAAAATTAAAGAGGCGCATATATTTTATTTTTCTAACTTGCTTGAATTGTATGGAGTATAGAGTCTATATAGTTGAAAACCTGTCCCATGAAGGTTTATATTATTTTATATCCATTATGTTCATAGAATGGGGATATTGACAATGATATGATTGTAAAATAAAATTGGGTGGTAAAATGGAGAAGTGCCTTAAGAGAACTATTTTATGGGAAAATATTTGGAAGTTAGATTACGAACTTGAAGTGTTGGTTAAGTTTTCTCTAGCGTATTATTTTGGTCTAAGGATCAAGTCATGGAACCATCTCATTGCAAAAATAGGGTTTATATTGCATGTAATAGCTCATCTCTGTCTTGCATTAGCGGGAGCTCTATGCACTGAGTATACTTATATGAAAATTTAAAATTTTATTCTATATAATGCCAATAAAAAAAGTTGTGTTGTATGAATTTGAATGTTTGATAAAAAGCAAATCTTGAACAATTATGTTGATTGTCACCAAATCATCAAGTTAAGATGGATGTGTGGTAACATTAGGAAGGTTCGAGCGTAAAATTATTATATTATTGAGATTGATGTAGCCTGTTGAAGCTATTGTAGAAAGTAGATTTAGGTAATTCAACACTATAATGGAAATTAGAGATGCACCAATGTGGTAGAGAGATGGGATTAATATTAAACAAAGTTGTGAAAGGTGGTACAAAATGCAAAATATGGAACATGATTAAAAGTTAAGAGTTCCAATCAGTGCATTACGAAGAATTGAGACACCAATCTCAAATGTTGGAATAACCCAATGAAGATGACAATGATCCTTGAAAGTTTTGAAAGGCATGTATTTTAACTTATATAGCTATAGGTTTTAATAGCAGAAGATGCCTTCACCTTAGAATAAGTTGTTAGTATGTAAAAAGTAAAAACTCGCTTTAGCTTTAGGTTTTTTCGTTCTAGGGCTATTGGATACTAACCTTCGGCATAGCTGCAACGAACACTTATCTGCACATATTCATTGTTTGCGTCATTTTAATTGAAAGATTTTATTTTGTACTTCACTTTTAATGTCAATAGAAAACTCATTATATGCTGTTGAAGAGGATATTAGGTCTTTTCCTGTAAAACTTAGGGAATGCAAGGTAACTTTAACCATTTTAGTGTACACAATTGATGCTAGATTTTGTCTGTTTTGATGCAATTTGTGGAATATGTAAGATTTAAAAGGAGAGAAAAAGCAGTTTATGAATGCTTTAAATTTGACATATTTTGGTTTTTGCCAAACAAAAAATTTTACTCCAACTGATCTTTTTGTTTCTATATTTTGATACCTCTATGTGAGCTGTTTTTGTTATTAGTTTCTTTCAAAAGTTTGATGGTTGCCTTCATTTTTCAGGTATGCAACTGCCACTGCTCGTTCAGATGGCATGCTCTTGCTTTGTGGTGGAAGAGACTCATCTGGAGCCGTATAAAATTTTTCTTATTTCAACCCTTCTTTGGCCATGTTTTTGTAGCTTACCCTTATATGCTATTTTTTTTTTTTTTAATTGAGTGATAATGCTCATTACATATTATGCTTGAATCCCATGGCAAACATTATGTCTTATGGCTTATTTATTCTTTTCTAAATAAAATATATTAGCAAGATAATGATTTGAGTATATTAATGGCTTTTATCAAAAAAGGTTTTATTTAAACATCTAGCTTGAAGCCTAGTAGAAATATGAGAGCGGTGATGGATTTTTTTTTTTCTGTTCCTGGTACAAAAAAAAAGCATGAAATTTTTTATCTACCTTAGAGTTGACGCTTTGAATGCTCTAATTAAAATTAGAAACTTATTGTGAAAAATAAATATTATTTTGTTCACTGTTTCTAGAGTCGACGATTTTGATTAGTGCATGAACAATCAGTGAACAATTTCATGTCATTTGATTTAGAAATTGTGCTGATATTGCTCTTATTCAATTTGGGCATATTTCAAGATTTTATTTTGTAATTATCACTGCTGCATGGTGCTTGGTTGACTGAAGAAGCTTTTATGTGTACATACAGCCACAATCTGATGCTTATGGATTACTGATGCATACAAATGGCCGGTGGGAGTGGACTTTAGCCCCAGGGATTTCACCCTCTTCACGGTATCAACACTCAGCGGTAAGTAATTTGTTTGGTGCTTGCGTTTTTGAATTTAATCGCAAGAATTCAAAAATTATTCCAAAACCCTTTTTTGATTGCCACAAGCTCGACAGTCCCCTCAGATGCCTCTATTTTTGGAGTTATGAGTTTTTCTCTATTTATTTTATGGAAGATTTGCATTCATACCACTCAATTCTTATGTATTTACATATCTAACACCTTAACTTCGTAATTTTTTTTGGTACATGCCACCTTATATATGCATGAAAAGATGTATTTCACTCATTAAAAGTTGTTAAAAGTAAAATTTAGTTGTTAAATATGTATATACATAAAAATTTAGTGGTATGTCTGTGAATGTCCCTTATTTATTTTGCACACTATAAGATAAAGGATGCTCTTGGAAAATGAACTGCTGCCTGTTTGTGTAACTCTTAATTTCAGTTTTATTTACTAGGTATTTGTGGGTGCACGCTTGCATGTCACTGGAGGTGTTCTTAGGGGTGGAAAAACTGTTGAAGGTGAAAGTGTTATTGCAGGTATTCGCTGTTCTTTAAGGATTTTACTTCAAAAAAATGATCCTTGAACTATTTATAGGGGCCATTTTAGTCCCAATATATAAACGTGTTTAGTTTAGTTCATTGAATCTTCTAATGTGATCTTAATAGTCTATCTTTTGGATTATTTTGGATCAGATATGAGTTATCAAAGGACTAAAGTGGACACATGACTAAAATGACCTCTTATAAATAGTCCGTAGACCATTTTGACCCTTTCATTTTTTACTTTTTATGGCTTCACATTCATTTTCTCAAATTATCTAAATTTCCCTCTAATGAAGTGCTTGACACTGCTGCTGGAGTGTGGCTCGATAGGAATGGCATTGTTACTGCATCTAGCTTACAGAAATCTTCAAATGATTATGATCCTTCTTTAGAGCTCATGCGCCGTTGCCGCCATGCATCTGCTGCTACTGCATCTCAGATTTATGTCTATGGTGGCCTTAAAGGAGGTATTTTTATTTTCAAAAGAAAGAAAGGAGGTATTTTTGAAAAAAAAAAAAAAAGATGATTTTGTTGAAGTTTAATGTTACCATTTTGTTTAGGAATGTAAGTTATTGTCTGGCATTTTAGATAGAGGCTTTATGTTCTGTCGAGTGTTTAAATTTTCTGTTTTCTAAAGTTTCCACTTTTTGCAATTTCCCAATTTGCAATCCATTTGATTTAGCAATACTCCTAATAATGCTCACTTGGGCACAACCATCATAAGATAGGTGCATTTACATACATAGGACATAATCCTTATGTATTTAGATATCTCACAACTAAACTTTCATATTTACGCACATAGCACTCAAATCTTTAGTATCACAAAAAATAGCACTATCATCACTTTTTAAGAGTGAAATATACCTTTTCATGCATAGGTTTGAAACACCAATGTGTTTAGGGCTGTCAAAACGGCTCGTTGTTCGCGAACAGCTCGTGTTCGGCTCGTTAATTTTATTCAATAAGTTAACGAGCCGAACACGAACTAAGATGTGTTCGTTCGTGTTCGGCTCGTTTTGGCTCGAAATACTACTCATCAAGTTTATATATATATATATAGTAATATTTTTAAAAAAATCTAATTGACTACAAGGCTACAAAGATTTATAACCAATTAAAATATTGTTTAAGAAAATAGAATAAAAAATATTAAATTAGATTCAAATGCTGTTTTAATATACATAATAATTTTTAAATCTTGTTTAAATCCTTGTTGTCTTATGACTACATGATTAGCGTTGTTAAAATGATTCTTTGTTTGTGAACAGCTTGTGTTCGGCTAGTTAACGTTAAACAAACGAGTCGAACACGAACACACTTTTTGAGCTCGAAATATAAACGAGGCGAACACGAGCTGATCATGGCTCGCTCGTGTTCGGCTCGTTTACACCCCTAAATGTGTTATGCATGTAAATATGAAGGTTTCCGTGTGAGATATGTAAATGCAAAACAATTGTGTGCTACAGATGTAAACTTCTCGGATAGCAATGGTAAAACTCCATAATTCTCACTCATGAAAGTAATAGGACTTCCCTGGTTGGAAGAGAATCTCGTGCTCTCAGGCATTTCTGCAACAGGATGCTGCTCTAAGGCTCAAATTGCATATTGTTATCAGAATCCTTGTTTTTTGAATGAATGGTTTAATTATCTTAAAAATTGATTAAACTGTAACCGTGTGTAATTTTTATGTCTTATATGTCAATCAACTTTTGGATTTTGAGTTTAAAGAAAATATAAGGGTTTAGAGACAAACAAGGCAATGAAGGATGGACATTCTTCTCCAAGGAGGAGAAAATCTGTTTGTATATTATGTGTGTATAGGAGCAAATCAGTCTGTATATTATATGCGGGTGTATATGTAGAATCAGTTTAATTTTCCTTAAAAGTTATCACTCTTTTTTTCATTTGGGTTTTAATGTTCCTTCAAATATAGAATTAAACTTGTCCATTTTTCACAGGGTCATTATTAACTATTAAATAGTCTAACGAATGATTCCATGAGCTTTTTCCATCATTTGATCATTGATTGTGTAAAAAAATGTTTAAATTAATGGTTTCATTACATGAGAAGATAATGTGAATTTTAATGTGTAATCTTTCAAATTGATTGGAATCAAATACATATATTATCAATATTTTTAATAAGTGAAATCTATTATTTGGGATTCTATGTGTCGTCAATTTTTTTTATTTTTTATTTGCTTGATGAAAAATGGAATTCAATGTTTTAAAAACGCGCTTCACAAGCAAAGCAAAACCCTGCTTCACTTCAATGAAGTGCGCTTCGAAGCGCTAAAATTAATTTGTAATTTTTTTTAATTTTTAAATTTTTAATTATTGCAACAAGTATTAGAAATTGTTTGACATTTTAATTTGTAGATTCACCCTCAATCATTACCCTAAAGTTGGTTGGTTGAAATGGAGGATTTCTTCGGGCCTATTGTGTCATAGAAAAGTACCACTTAGATTAAAAGGAAAATTTTATAAGATGGTGGTGAGACGTGCAATGCTTTAATGTTGAATGTTGGCCTTTAACTTTAAAAGAGAAGCATAAAACTAAGTTAAGTGTTGCCGAGATGAGAATGCTTAGGTGGACGAGCGGCTTTACACTTAGAGATCAAATGCGAAATGAATATATATGTGATTGGGTTGGTGTAGCTCCAACTAAAGACAAAATTAGTGAGAGTCGTCTTAGATGGTTTGGTCACATTAAATGTCGATCATCTGATGATCCAAAATTAGGAGAGTAGATTAGATGTTTTAGATTCGACTTATGTTAAGAAAGGCAGAGGTAGGAATTACTCAGATGAGGTAACCTACGGTTGCTAACGAGATCTCTCCGGTTTAAAAAGGTTTAATAACTCGTTTAAGCTAAGTAAATTCAAAAGAAAATAGTGATACCTGAACGAGGGAATCATGAGATCCTAAACTGTGTCACTCTAATCAACTTTAACCCTCCCATTTGGAGGGTATATGAGCATATTGTAAATTCCTCTCTCTGGTTTCGTGTCATTCGGGTTGGGTTTTGTGCTTCCTGGGAGTGAATTGCCAGCTTCCGTCGTGGTTTTGTTGGTAGATGTAAGTTGAGGTGATGGTTTGTATGTTGACTGCACTGGCGGAAGGAGTTTTGAGATTTTGTCTGCTTTTGTTGTCGTTCCACTTTTAATGCAAGGATCTGAACTTTGTTTAGCATCCAGTATGGTTGGAGTTGGACAATATTGCTAATGGAGGGTTTTAAGTTCTTGAGATAGCGGGTGATTGTGTGTTGTTCTTGTAAGACCAGGTCGCACTTTCATTTGTAGATGATCGAATTGTGCCGTGAATTCCTCGACCAATAGATCACGCTGCTACAGGTTGTGGAATCAGATGAACATGTCTTGCCAATAGTAGGGCGGCAGGTATTTCTTTTGCGTGATCTTTTTCGTTTTGGCCCACGCATTGACCTTGTCGTCTCCATCGCGTTGTCGTTGCCGTTGCAATTTGTCCCACCATAACGCGCACTTTTCTTTAGTTTGATCGCGGTGAGCTTAACCCATTTGGCCTTGGGTACTTTCTTTAATTCAAAGATCCGTTCAATCTCTTTCAATTAGCTGATGAAGTCATTAGGGTCCATGTTTTCGTCGAATTCCGGAAGGTCCATTTTGATGTCGAAATTGTGATGGGTGCTGAATGTGGGCTCCTCCTGCGGTCTTCTGTGATAGTGAATGCCAAAACGGCGTGGGCGATGCTCGTCGTTGTTGACGTCATCGCGATAAAACAGATTTAAGTCATCGTCGCAGTCTCCTCTTCGAATCTCGATATCATAGTCGAGAGTGACGTCACCCTGAGTCCCGTCGTCCATCTTGGCTAATTGTTGTAAAAGACGAATCTCGCGTTTTATTTCTTCTCGAGTCGTGTCCGGTGCGCATCTACGAGGAGGCATGACCATAAGTGTTTCGAGAAAGAGAAGAGAGGAGGGAGGAAGAAGGGACAAGAAGAGAATGACAAAAAGGATGCGGGGAAAAGGAGGGAAGTAAGAGAAAATAAAAATAAAAATAAAAAATTGTTGGAATAGGTGGGTGCGGATGCTAATGACACTAGGGTAGGACTAGAGTTTTGCTAGCTCTGATACCAAATGATAACGTATTTTATCAAAACCACGACTCAAAATGACACAACTCTATTAATGATTTTGAAGGAAAGTACAACACAGACTCTTGGATGAAAACAACACAACATGTAAACGATGTTATAACAAGTAGCAACTCAACAATAGTAAAATAAGTATTACAAAGAGCAGAAACAATCCTGATTAGGGACAGGTGGAGATTATGACTTTGTCGGAAGGCTGGGAAGGTGTCCCTGGCGGTTAAGAAGGCGTTGGATTGGACGTCGGTGCTGGAGGAGTGCCGGGAGGGGCGGCTGCAGGTACTATAGCTTGCTGGAGGAGGGTTGGGAAGGAGTCGGCAAAGGTGGTGACGTCTTCCTCCATACCGCCAGCTCCAACACAAATGATACGAGAAAAGCACACACGAGATGAAGAGTAGGAGACTGTCGTCTTAAAGAAAACCAAGAAATGCTAAAGGAGCTTGAAGTTGTTCCTGGCGCTCAGTGGAGATCTCCAACCGAACCAGTGCTAAAGTTGGAAGAAAGACAGCCTCAAAATACCTCCATCTTCAAACCACCACCCTGCAGCTGTAGGTACTGTTGCTTGCTGGAATGGTCGTCACGAGGTGCTGGACGGGGCTGAAACTGATGGGGGAGGAGCTGAAATGGGCTGTGGCGTCCCGTAAGGAGGGGCAGCCAGCCGATGTCACTGGAAGTAGCAGAATAAGGGGGCCATTCAAGCTGCAGGATGAAATCTGGAGGAGGGCAGCGGAGGAGGCGACATCGGAAGAAGGGGTTGACGCTGTGGTATACACCACCTTGGCGGGATACAACCGTAGCACCACGCCGTCGGAGAATACAGCCCTCGCAAGAGGGAAAATCACCAGGAACACAACCTGAAATCAGAAAAAATAAATCACACGAAAAGCTGGTTAGATCTTGGGAAGAAAACATACATAAATAGGAGGGGGAGGTGGACCAACAAAGGCAAAATCTTAGGAAGGAAGGAGGTGAAAGAAATGGAAGGGAGAAACGGCTAGCAGCAGAGGTGGAAGAATAGGGCACGGGGGAGGTGAGCGGAGCGCATGTTGTGATGCGGGATGGAGAATAGGGCAAGCGAAGAGAATAGGCATTTTAATGCCAATCGACCAGTCTGGTCTAGCGTGAATGGTTGGATCGGTTTGCTCCTAGGCGCACCGGCCCAACGCGCTAGAGCGGGGAGCATCCCGTGTCATATTCTATATAAATTTTGCTGTTTTTTTATTTGTTTTATTTTCCTATCGTCCAACTAAGTAGTTATAGTTGTAGTAATTTAGTGGTCTTCATTTTATTTTAAGGAGCAGAAGCCTAATATTGTTTGCTTTATGCTATTTCTGCAGATGTGCCCCTTGGTGATTTTCTTGTGGCGGACAACTCTCCTTATCAATTTGAAATCACTTCCTCCATGTATGCCATTGATAGGACTCAGTCAATGACAAGCCAAAGACCAAACAAAATTGATCATCTTGACTCTCCTCAGCAGCCATCATTGGATGATCGCCTCTCGAGATCCTCGTCTACGGGTTCGAGGTTTCTCTATGTTTAAGTTTTCGTCCTTTTCTTAAAAGTATGCTCATTTTTAATCATTGGTTTGAGAAAAAACTTATAGTTTTTGTTTCTCCAGTTTGGATCAGAAGTCCATTGACAAGCTTGTTGAGGCTTCTACAGCTGAAGCAGAAGCTGTTAGTGCCGTCTGGCGCGCCGCACAGGAAGCATTGGGTGCCTCAGCTGACAAAGGTCTTTCACAAGAAAATGAATCTACAAATTCAGTTAATGACCAAGCCGATACCTTTGGTTCTAATAATACCCCACAACCAGATGTTAAGTTGCATTCTCGAGCGGTATGCTATTACGATTGAGTGAAGAGCCAACATAATCCCCTGATTTTTTATATGGGGTCATTTTAATTCCAGAGTTTATAAAAGTGTCCAATTTGTCTTGATTCTTTTAATATGGGCTGAAAAATCCCCACGGAGGACTATGTTAGCCTCTTCAAATGTTTTTAGGGACTAAATTGACACTTATAAACCCTGAGATTAAAATGACCCATGATAAAGAGTCATGGGACTATTTTGACTTTTTTATCTATTACGATTGCTTGTTGAATGATTTGCTAGTTTTCATCAGTGTGTTTGTCCATTGCAATGATGTTGCAGGTTGTAGTTTTTTTTCCTTCTATTATTTATTATTATTATTTTTTTTTTTTTTTTTATGTTGCGATGTTGCAGGTTGTAGTTGCTAAAGAAGCTATTGGTAACTTAGGCGGATTGATACGGCAACTTTCCTTGGATCACTTTGAAAATGAGAGTAGAAGAATGTATCCAGTAAATGGTGATCAGACCTATCCACCTAAGAAATTCTTAAACAGGCAGAAGTCTCCACAGGGCTTGCATAAGAAGGTAGGGTTATAGCTTCATTTTTTGTTATTTTTTAAGAATAAAGACCAGTCTTTTTTGCTTTCATTTCTCTTTTTGCAGATTATATCTTTGCTTCTTAGGCCAAGAAACTGGAGAGCTCCTTCTGACCGAAGCTTTTTACTTGATTCTTATGAAGTTGGTGAGCTTTGCTATGCTGCTGAGCAGATATTCATGCAAGAGCCTACTGTTCTTCAGCTAAGAGCGCCAGTCAAAGTATTTGGTGATCTTCATGGACAGTTTGGAGATCTAATGCGTTTATTTGATGAATATGGTTTCCCATCAACTGCTGGAGATATCACGTAAGTTATTTTGACTCCCGGCATATTGTTGACTCATGCGGCATACTACGAACTTTATTGATGGATTTATTTTGGTTAGATATAAATTATTCCCCATTGCCAATCATTAAAAAGGAGAAATTTTTAGTAAGACATTGGAAAAAAATGCTACAAAACGATAGTGACATTGCATTTTTTTTTTCAAAACCATTTTTGTTTCATATTTGTGGTGGAATTTGAATCAAAATTCCTTGTATGAAGCAAAGCCTTTCCATATGGTTTGGAGAGGATGGCATGCAGTAACTATTTGAGGCATACTGAAAAACTCGCTTGTCTATTTTTTATACCGTCTCTGAGAGGCATATATATTGAAGATAGCATTATATTTCTCTATTGGGGCATTTACATACATACCGCCCAGTTCATATGTATTTACATATCTTACACCTAAACTTTGCCTTTCACATTTATCCCACTCAGATTTCATATCACATCAAAAATACCCTCATTTTAACTTTAAAAAATTGAAATACACCTTTTTATGCATAAATGAGGTGGCATGCATGTAAAAATTGAAGTTTGTTTGTTAGATATGTAAATACATAAGAATTGAGTGGTATGCATGTAAATCCTTATCTAGTTTGTTATTGTGGTCTAAAGGGAAAAAATCTATCTTGGAAACATTGGATCCATGAGGTAGTCTTAAAGTGTCTAAACCTACTCTGCCTGTGGAGCATTGGTGTGATGTTGCAATATGAATACAATGTGATAGTCATCGAAATATGATTTTTTTTAATATATATATATATATTTGATGCACAGAGATAAGGTACAACTATTTTAATTAGGGCATACAGTTGTGATATCTGGTCTAATGTGCATTTGATGTGGGAGCGTAATGATGGGTCAGAGTGAATTGCAGAATTGATCCCTCAAACGTAGGATTCCACAGGACAGCGGAAATTTCCGCAATCGCAGCGCCAATTGCTGATTTCAACCCTTTTTTTTTTGCTTTTTTTTATTTTTTTCCTATTTTCTTTTTTCTATTTAGGGTACTTTCTATTAGGAGGCTATTTATGTGTGTTTTTTAGATGTTTGGACACTTTTGATTATTGTTATTGTGCTTTGAAATTTTATTCTCTGTTTTATGTTTTCCACTATTGCATACTTTTCCTTTTGCAAGTGGTGGATTTGTACCTTGCTCAAGAACGAGTTTTGAAATATCCTCGCCACTCGTATCTGGCCATTTCGTTGCTCGACTTGCTATTTTCAGCTCGGATAGTTGCCAATCATGCCACTTCTGTTGAGTTTTTTAACAACAGTTTTCATCTCTTACCCTCTTCCAAATACCTTCGATTCTGTTGTTAACCAAAAAATCACAATGGAATAATACTTTATTTCTGAAATTAGAAGTGGGTTACAAACTCGACACTTGAAAACATGAAAAACGACTAGGGCTTAGATTGTGGTGGTGGTGCTCGGTTGGAGGGGTTGAACCGGATGAGGGAGGAAGGTTGGCTGCTAGGTAGGGCAATGATTTGAAATGGCAGCTGAGATGGTGAGGGGTGGTCGACGACTGGAAACAGGGAAGGAGAGATGGTTTGGTGGTCGGTGACTGAAAGCAGGGAGAAAGGGGGTGGTAGGGTGTCCGGCGGCTGGAAGTAGGAAGGGGAGGCATAGGTTGAAGGGTAGTGAGCAGGAGATGCGATTGCGTGAGGAATTAGGTAAAGGTAGTCACCACCTCGAAGCAGGATACAATTAGAGCAACATCTGTTCTCGGATACAGCCGAAAACGTCTATAGGTAGAAATCTGTAATCAGAAACAAAATTTGAACCCTAAAACAACAAACAATGTATTTATAAGAAGAACCAGCCAGTCTAGCCTCCCTGTTGAACCGGCTTGACCCAAGCAAGCCCTGCATCAATAATTCTTTGTTGGAGGAAGTAGTTCTCATTATTGGAATGAAAATATTTTTTTTTATCGTGAGCTTTGAGAACTTGAATCTGGGTTTTGAATTGGGTATTTATAGAGTGGAATTTTTGAAAAGTATAACTGATTTTTGGCTTGTTTTGTAATAGAAATATTCAAATAATTTTTTTTTTTTTTTTGTCTATCAACGAAATATATAAATTATCGTGCTCTAAGATGGACCTTAGACGGCACAATGAATGGATGCAAAAGGTTTAGTCGCTTTATAAGGTTGTTATGGTAGCAAGTGCGAGTATATTTAGATAATTGATAAGTTTTGCATTGAGACGCTCCAAAGACTATGGTGATGAAAAGAGGGAAATATCTTTTTAGGTACTTAAAATTTGAATGCTCAAGGCAAAGTGCTACAAAATGATTGTTTTCTTGAAACAATATACTCGCAAAGCATTTTTCTCTTGCTCCTTAGCAATTATCTTTCCCAAGTTTCTATTTTGAAATTCACAATGAGAGAAGAAAATTTTAATATAGTTCATATTATTGACAATTTTATTGGTTAATAATAAGTTACATGAAAGTTTATGAACCAATAAAATTTGGTGAAGAGCCAAAGTGGAAACGAGTATATTGTGAATAAGGTTTGAAATAAGTAGGCATCTCATGTGATATGATCAGGGCTTTAGCATCCGCGATCCAAGATTGTGGATATTCGTTTAGGACATTGATTGAAAATGGCTTGGAAAAGATTTCCTGGATGCTAGTGTTCTATATGATCTCGATTCATGGCTGGTGGCGAAACTATAGGAGGTTCTCATTTCCAAGGCTTTTCAATGTTTATCTATCATCATGGCTAAAATCAGTAACTTCTTTGAGGCAGGATGAGGATGACTTAAAATTCTAACAGCATGTGGAAGAATGTATGAAAGATAGATAATAGAGAATAATGCAAGCTAAAGATGGTCTTTGATACCATATTGAAAAATATGAGAGAAGATTATTATTTTTTTTAATGGGTAGAATAGATATAATATTTTATAAGAAAATCGTTATCTATAAAGTAGAAAAAAATAGGAAATTAATTAACCTGATTAATTACATTCAATTTAGGATTTAAAATATCATTCCACACGAGATGGCTGTCAGACTGCTTGATCAAGTATTCACATGTCTGAAGAGCATTATTTCTAATGGAGGAGCTTTTTGCAAGGTTGGTGGAGCCAATGGAAAGGTCACACAAGTCCTGTAGATTGCCTCGATGACATCGGATCAGAATTTTCACATAAATTATTCTGTTTTATTTATAGTTTGGTAGCATGAAAGGTAATATTTATAAGTGATTAAATTGGAAAATATAAGTTTTCTGCTAGTCGGATTGGCTCCTAACTCTCTCTGTGTACATGTTACATCGACTGAACATTCATACATAGAGGCATACATATTCTAACATGTGCATAGGACTAAATTTAATTATTTTGATAATTGTGTTCGTGTAAGTTGTGAACATGTTAATAAATCAATATAATAGATAAGTCTAACTTCCTTACATTGAATCTCATTCAAATTTCTCTTCAAAATCGTCCTCTTCTAGATTCAAAATTTATTTCTTCTTTATGACGAGTGGCAAGCGATCAACATCTGTATCTCAATTGCCTTCCTATTCTATCCTTTGCCTTTTTCTATCCCCTTCCTAATTCAAATCTGCCTCCGTTATTTCTCCCTTTCGAGGACTGTATCCGATGACGAAAAAGTGCTCCGGCTGTAACTCATTTAATGTGATGACTATCTCCCCTGTTCTTCCACCTTCTTTCTCCAAGCTCTGACATGTTGCCACTGACCACCTCCAGCAGGTCGACCTTTCTGCAGCCCCCTTTCGGTGGGCCGCCACCCCTCCTGCATCTGCCAGACAACCGCCAGCACTTGTTGCTCTCTTCCTACGCCGCAGCTACCTGCTGCCAGCCACATTCCAGCAGGCCGATACCCCTCTTACTTCCTCCTATGCCGCAGCCATTTGCTGCCAGCCTGCTCTCAGCAAGCCTCCATCACTCCTACTCTCTCCAGCACTGCAGCACCTGCTATCAGACACTTTCAAGCAGGTCGACACCACTCCTACTTCCTCTAGTGTCACAGCCACCTACTGCCAGCCACCTTGCAGCATTGCTGCAGCTCCCTTCTTCCCCTTCGTGGGGCTGCTGCTATCATCTAGAGAGCCATTTCCATTTTTTTTGCTGTTTTATTCTTATTTTGAGTCATCGGTGTCACTTGAACGTTTGCATGTTTTATGTTGTTTATGTTGAGGAGTCATCGTTGTAACTTTTGAATTCAGCAATAAATATCTTTCATTTGGTCATGATTGGGTTAACCCCGGTTTCAATAATGTGATCACTTTCAAGCCTAATTTTTCTGTGCAAAATCCTGACGTAGCTCTACGTGCCGCGGAGGTTATTCCTGAGTTATTTTCAGGTTATTTTTGGGTTATTTTCAATAATACCGAAATAACCCTGTATGAAACTGTATCAAATTAATTTATAAAATGCGCTCCAATTTCAAAAATGTAGTATCAAATTAATTTGGGCTGACAAGGAAAAAGGGAAATGTGGTATCTAATACGAGGTTTCTTCGGTTGGTCCAAGAAGAAAATTTTTTACACTTTTTATGGGGTTTTGCAAGTGGGTTGCAGTTCCATTTGTTCTATTCCAGCTAGATGAAAAAAAACCATTACAGACCACATTTTTTACCAAGACCGACTACTGATGAATCTAGATTGTTGATATGGCCTAATTCTACCCCTAAAATACTCTATGAAAGTATTTAGAAATAAATCTAAACCATATCTTGACCAAATTATGTCCAAAACACTCTAATGTTATTCAGGTATGTTATTTGCGAAAGTACAAATGAATGTTACCTTTGAAAATTAATTTTTGTAAGAGCTAGAACAACTCCACATATTGTTTTACATCACCTATTCTTTCAACAAGCTTGCTAACCGGAAGTTCCTATTTCCCTATTTAGATGATTTCCCATTTCCCTTTAATTAATTGACTTTGATTTGCATAATGAAGAGCACTTCACATTCATTTGATTTATATGGCAAGCCCATACTTATCTCCCTCAACATTGTCAGAGAGTTAGTATGCCTTGTTGATTGACTCAATTATCACGAATTGTCCAAACAAGCTCTTTGTGGTGCATGTTTCCCTTTATAGTTCAAAATAATAAAATTCATTGGGAGTTAAACGAGCGGAGGTGGGTTTCATATTTTATCCTTTGTTTTATAGTCCTTCTAAACGTCTTGTTGTAGCTTTCAACTTGTGAGGTTTGTTTTTTTTTTAACGGTCCCTTCTATTCTACCTATATCATGGAACAAAATCAATGGAGATTCACTTTGATCCAGAAGAGTATCCTAGAAATGCACTTTGTTAGATTTTAGTGATCCACTTAAGAAATTCTTAGTATCATTGCTAGTCTTTTAAAATTCATCTAAACTTGCATCAGTTGGTCACATCTTAATCTGAAACTGTCATTTTTTCCAATGATTTGCAATCATACCCCCTCAAATAATACTCTAACTGTGGAAGAAGTCGAAGTTTCTCAATGAAATCTTATTGCCAATGTTGTACAAGGAATGAATTCTCGTGTCAAGAGCCAGATTCAAGTCCTCTTGATAATCATAATGACCTAGATTCCTCAACTCATGACTCTCTTAAATTGATGGTTGATGACTTTAATCAACCATTTGCCCACAGGAAACGTAATCGAGGGTGCACTGGTCATCCTATTGAAGGATATGTAGCTTGTGGAAAGTTTCTACCATCATACAGAGCTTTTATGACAAATCTTGATATTGTGTAGATTCTCAACTCTATTCAAGAGGCGCTAAAGGTTTCAACATAAAAACAGACAGTTGAAGAATAATTCAAGCCCTAGAAAAGAATAACACATGGACACTTACAAAGTTACCGCATGGAAAAATCTTGTAGGCTGCAAATGGATATTCATGGTCAAATATAAAGCAGATGACAGTACAAAGAGATTCAAAGCTAGACTGGTTGTCAAAGCTTCATGCAATCATACGTGATTGATTATCAAGAAATATTTGCACATGTTGCCAAATTTAATATGGTTTGTTTTTACTCTATCTTGCAGTAAATCAAGATTGGCCTCTATACCAACTTGATGTCAAAAATGTCTTCTTGAATAGTGACCTTATTGAAGAAGTCAGGAATATACCTCTAGGTTTGGAAAAATTGGCCAAATGATACGTTTGTTTGCAATTTGAAGAAGTCTATACACAACTTGAAGCAATTTCCTTGTATTTGGTTTAATATCTTTGTTAAAACAGTGATTATAAATGGATATGATCAATGTCAAACTAACCATACTTTGTTTGTGAAATCTAATTCTAGAGACAAAATTGATACTCTCATAGTATATGTATATAATATTATTTTTAGGGGTGATGATTCAAAAGAAATTATCACGCTAAAAAGGACACTTGCCACATAATTTGAGATCGAAGATCTCAAAAATCTCCAATATCATTTGGGAATGGAGGTGGCTCGGCCTATGGAGAGAATTGTCATATCCCAAAGGAAGTACATCTTAGATCTATTAAGTGAAACTGCATGCATACTTGGGTGTAAACCTACTGACGCACCTATGAATTTCAACATAGGGCTGAATGGAATTGAGAAAAGCGGTCCAATTGATAAAGGAAATCATTAAACTATTTTACCTATTACACACAACATCTGATATTGCATACTTAGTCATTGTAGTAAGGCATCACATGAATCCTAAATAAGGATCATTTGGAAGCAATAAACAAACTTCTGAGATACTTGAATATGGCTCTTGGATAAGATTTGTTCTTTAGAAGTTTTGAAAAACCGAATATTGAGTTTTTAAAATTAAAAACCAAAATTTATTTTTGAAACTGAGCCAAATCAACCAAATTTATTTGTTTTTGTTTTTTGTTTTTTTTTTATTTTGGCCAAATAATGCACACCCCTAGCAAGGTGCTCTTCTCGCAGCTTGCACCCACCCAATGAGACCCTTGATTACTCACCCGGTGAGATGTTCCATTCTTGGATGCATGAGAATAAAGGCTTAATGGTGGAGAGTGACAACACCAACATCATCAACTTCATTCGATTCGATGGAGCAAAAGACCTGGAAGGAAGACCTAGAGCATTGCAGCACTTTTACTTTTTTCAGTTCTTTTAGACAGGTTATTTTTTGTTTAATTCCCCGAGATCTAAATCAAGCTGCCCACTTTTGTGTCCAAAGGGCTCTTACTTATAGGTTTACTTTTAATTCGGCCCATGAATCATCGGAGCCTTTTGTCATTCTCCGCGAGGACAGTGCCTCTTTTGCAAAAGTCTGAGGATCTGTTTTTTGTACTTTTTTTGTATTTATTTCTTTTAGTTTAATGCAATATGCACACTTCAAGGATTACTCATCCAGTGAGACCCTGGATTACTCAGCTGAATGTTGGCTGGTGGAACAGAGAAGAAAATATCAGAATTTTGGTCTTCGTTCCTTTGATACCTCAAAGAGGCCTGACCTAAATTTGTTGAAAGAATCAAACGTGAAATCCAAATTGTATTAGGTGAAATATCTCTTGTTCCCATCCTAAATGTTGCTTACAGATCTTCCGCATCGAACATAATCTATCTTTTCTATAATGCATGTTAACTAAATTTAAACAATAATTAAATATACTAAAAGACTATTCTTGACTTTTCAGAACGTTCTAAACTAGCACCTTAGCTCTAGTTGTTGTATTAAATTTGGTTGATTGGTTTCCATATTCTTAGGCTAGTTCTTGGTACAATCAACATTAATGCCTAAAGCTTTTGTTTTGGTGAATCTCTTTGAAGTAAATAGATTCAAAATATGTCATTAAATATTTAATTTCAAATTTTACGGAACTCTACATAATCTTGTGCGCATTAATGGAAAAACTTCTTAGGGCAATGCTTGAGCAGCATTTGTATTCAGGGGCGTTTACATACATGTCACCCAATTCCTATCTATTTACATATCTAACACCTTAAATTTACTATTTTACATTTGTGCCACCCAAGTCTTTCATATCATGTAAAAAATACCATTATTTTAACTTTTAAAAAGTGAAATACACCTTGTCATACATAGATAAGGTGATAAGGTGACTGGCATGTAAAAATTGAAGTACAGGTGTTGGATATATAATTGCATAGGAATGAGTGGTTTTAATGTAAATCTTCCTTGTATTTAATATTTATGTTTTGATACATCGGCTTGAATATTTCAGGTACATTGACTATTTGTTTCTGGGAGATTATGTTGATCGAGGACAACATAGTTTGGAAACCATCTGCTTGCTTCTTGCTCTTAAGGTGCAGTTTAAGCCTCAAAGCCTTTTATGATTTTTCACAACTAGTTTTTATTTGCAATGTTTGTGTTCGCTGTATTCTATTCCAACTCTTTACAGATAGAATATCCAGAGAATGTCCATTTAATTCGAGGAAATCACGAGGCTGCTGATATTAATGCTCTCTTTGGTTTTCGGCTCGAATGCATCGAAAGAATGGTGAGAAAATTGTACTTTTTTGGAAGATTTATATTCTTAACACACAATACTTACGTATTTACATATCCTATTCCTAAACTTTCATATTTACATTACACTTCAAGGTGTATGTCACTTTCAAAAAGTGATAATAGTATTATTTTCAATATGATATTAAAGATTTGAGTGCTCTGTGTGTAAATATGGAAATTTAGATGTGAGATATGTAAATACATAAGAATTGCGTTATGCATGTAAATGTCCTTTTTTTATGCTTCATGGTCGAAAAAAGTACCAAGTTTGGAGTTTTTGTAGGGAGAAAGTGATGGAATATGGGCATGGACTCGTTTTAATCAGCTCTTCAACTGTCTCCCTCTTGCGGCGCTCATTGAGAAGAAAATTATTTGCATGCATGGTGGAATAGGGAGGTCCATAAACACAGTAGATCAAATTGAGAAAATTGAAAGGCCCATAACAATGGATGTTGGATCCATTATTCTAATGGACCTTCTTTGGTAACTTCTATAACTATTATTTTTAGCATGGTAGTTTATTTTCAGCCATTAGTATAGTCAGTATGATGTATTATTCATTTCATATTCTTTATTATTTACAGGTCTGATCCTACAGAGAATGATAGCGTAGAGGGCTTGAGACCGAATGCGCGAGGGCCCGGCCTAGTCTCTTTCGGGGTATTTTGATTGCATTGTTTTAAATATTATATTTGAATGAAATGATCGTTTTTGCATGAAATTTTATGTAGAATAATTCTTCATTTTATTTAGATTAGAGAAATGATTTTGATCATTCTTTTTAATCAATTTATGATTTGTGTTTTAAGTAAATATTAGAACTAGTTATAGTAATTAATTAAATACTTAATTTATTATTAATCATTAAAAAGTTATTAAAGCGCATGTTCTTCTCACGGAGGCTTTAAATTCTTCTTTTGTGTTGTCTTAAAGTTCTTGCATGCCTAAGCCTACACGGAAGTTTAAAGCATAAGAAAAATACTAAGATCATGTTGAAAGTATTAAGATTGCTAAAAGAATAAATCGTCCGCCTAATTAGTAAATGTAACAAATTATTCAAAATAAGAAGTGACATTTTAATATTCAAACATCAAATCATAAAATAAGAATTGTTATACAAATATTAAAGTTAAGACATAATAATATAACAATCCAAAATAATTTCGATAGAATTTGTCTCTCTCCCACTCTCACCCTCCACAATCTAAATAAGAAAATACTTGAAGAGAATTTGAAGCTGGCAAGTTTTGGGAATATACCTGAACATATGAGCAGGGATCTTCCACCAAAGAGTTTGGAGAATCAATATCAGCATCATGTGAATGGTTTGACAGCCGAACTTGAGAATTTCTTTGCTCAAGATAAGCCTCAAGACACTATGATTTTTGTCCAAAAATATGTAAAAAGGACATGCACTTTTTGATAAAACGAGTTATTGTAGTATTCATCTGTAACGATTTTTCAAACATAGTTTTCAAGGAGACTAAGATTGACTAATAATACAGAAGAAGCCATGAAACTAATATCCAAACTCAAGTAATAGAAGGCACCACAGAACAATCAATTTGATCCCGAAGGTTTTGGATGTAAAAGCGATAGATGGAAGGTACCTTGGAAGCTGAACAAAATGATCTGTGTGTGATAATTTTAACACCTCACGCAACACTAAATAGGGATGAGTGAAGAATAAGTATTCATAAAGCCGACCTGAGAAAGTTGTGATAAGGTTAGTAATGATGCTGATGATGATAAAATGTCTTGGAAGTTAAACAAAATGATCTGTGTAAGTTAGTTTTAGCACCTCATGCAACACTTAATAGGGATGAATGCAAAATAAGTATTTATAAAGCTAACCTAAGATAATTGTGGTAAGCTTAGTGATGATGGTTATAATGAAATAACAATCTCTCTATTTTGCAAACTTTTATTGTACAAATTTCTTGAAATTATAGAGAAAGCTAATCAGTGGTTTTCAGTGGAAAATAAAATTGAATTACATGAACATTTCAGAAATTACATATGATTCCTTCAAGAAAACCATTTTTGTGATATTTTTCTCAATGCGGAGTTACTCCGCCTTTCTAGAACATTTGTCATGCACTTTCTGGTTGAATCTCTTATTTTCTTCTGTAGATATGTATGCTGACTCCTTTCTACACTTTGTAGCCTGATAGAGTGTTGGATTTCTGTAAGAGGAACAAGCTACAACTTATTATAAGAGCTCATGAATGTGTGATGGATGGCTTTGAAAGATTTGCTCAGGGACAACTTATTACTTTGTTTTCAGCTACTAATTATTGTGGTAATCCTACAAAATTTTACTGATTCATCTTATAAATCTGATACAAATTTGTATGCATTTCTCCTGATTCTTTGATATATCCACATTTGATAATTCTATCATAAGGCTTTCCTTGTTTCAGGAACTGCAAATAATGCTGGAGCAATCCTAGTGATTGGTAGGGGATTAGTTGTCGTTCCGAAGTTGATTCATCCACTTCCGCCGCCGCTTCACTCACCCGAGTCATCTCCAGAGCGCATTGTTGAACATACATGGATGCAGGTGAGTTTTGTGTTCTCCTTTGAGGGCTTAGTTGCTTGTGGATAGAAAAAAAAATGGAAGATCTCTATATTTTCTTGTGGATAGAAATAGAAAAAAAAAAGAAAATTTCCATATTTTGTCATTTGGATCGAGACAATTAGAAATCAGTATGTATATTCAAACTCCGAAAACCAGTTGGTACAATGACTTCATTCACTCTAAAATGAGTGAAAACAAAATCATCACTATCTAATATATCTTTTTTATTTTTAGGAGCAAGAGGCCATGAATTTCAGTAAACTTTGAACCCCTTATAAATTTGAACCATGAAAGCTGTTTGTATGATGAAGTTGGTTTGGGCATATATAAAATGAAAGGTAAAAGAAGCACCAATTTTTTTTGTTGGGAATGATGACGTCTAAACCCAAAATTAAATTAAAATATAGGAATAATATATGAGGGGATTTAGATAAACTCAGCTTTCTCAATTACATGCCATTAAATCTAACTAAGAAAAGCAAAGGGTCTCAAAATAATTTGTCGGAATAGCAACGAGTAAAAAGCCCAAAACCCAAAAGACTACTAAAGAAACCATCCGGTAGAAACAATACAAGGAATCATAATTTATTCTTTATTGTCCATGAAACGATTGCTCAACTCTAATGAAAGATAATAATAGATAAATGCTAGGTAGACAAAATAGCATTGAAAGATGCGTGCAAATTAGCAAATCAACATGTATGTGCTCCAGCTAATATATAAAATGCTCAAATATTAAATTTGATAATGCTACGCGGGCTAACTTAAAATTATGTCTAAAATATCCACATGTGGTCCACTAAATTGACTAAATGCGTAAACTTAAATGGTTTGAGAATGTTACATGGTTGCAAATGATATTCACTCGTATTTATTATATTTTGAAAACAATATAGATTTTCTTGTTTAAATTTCTATGCTCATCTTAAAGTTATAAAAATTTTATTTTGAAATCAAATTCAAAATAATTAAATTATGCAAACTTTTAATCAGGTGTCTAGTTTATAGAGTGGTGTTGTAAGTCCAGCTCAAGCAGTTAGATCCTCCTCCTCTTAAAAGCTAGAGTTGACGAATCTTGTATTTTTAATAATGTCTAAATAGCAAATATAAAAAATTGTAAGTCCAAATTATCTAGTATGATCCTCTTCTAATAAGGATTGGAGTTGACAATATTAATATTTTAAATATATTAAAAATGTCAAATGTCGAATGAAGTACAAACATAAGTGTTTCAAATATTCATTTATCATATGATGGTCATGTTGATTGTGAAAATCAATCGAAGTGATCTAGAGAACTATTTTCAAAGTTTAATTTCAAGGTATATATATACATATATATGTATATATATATATATATGTATATATGTCTGTGAGCTCAATCTTTTGTAAGCATGACAGAGTTAAAAATATTAATGTACAAACATATTTCATATTAAGCCTGAATTTTTATAAGTAGACAGAATTCAAATCAAACATTTAAATCTCTAATGATACCGTGTTGACTAAAAATCTCAATCAAAGGAGGTCAAGTTTTAAATCAATTTCTAAATCAAATTATCAAAATAGCAAATCAAGATATTCAAATTAAAATCAATCACCTAGTCTTAAAGCAAGTTAACCAAAATACTTAGTTAAAGAACAATTACTTAAAAGCTCAAAACAAAATGCATCCACTCTGCAAAAATTTGTCGGTGGTAACAAATTTTTTATTTATTTCATAATGCCGGAAAACCCAAACCACAATAGAGAAAACAAATATTATTACTCGTGAGCAAATAAAGTTACAATCGAAGATATTTGAAACAGAAAATGACAAAGACACAACACGACTCAACTAAGGTTGAGAGCAAGATGAAGCTATTACGATTTAAGGAGAAGTAGGCCTAAAAATGCGTTGGAGTTGGCTGGAAGGAGGGCGACAACAGGTGGGAGGTGGTCGGAAAGGCGGCAGTAAGTAAGGGGTGGTTGGATAGGTCGACAGCGATTGGGAGGTAGTTTGGAAGGCTGCTAACGAGGTGGAGTGGCCGGAAAAGGGGTGACTGGCCAACAGTAAACTTTGAGGCTGTTTGGAAGGCTGGTAGTGAGGTGGAGTAGCTGGAAAAGGGGTGGCAACAAGTAGAGGGGTGGTTGGATTGGTCGACAGCAAACTGGAGCTAATTTGGAAGACTGACAGCGAAGTGGAGGGGTTGAGACCACTGGTCGGTTGTAGGGAGGTACGCTAGCGACTATGACAATGACGACAATGGTGGAGAGGCTGTAGAAAGCAGAGGATACACATGACCTTAAAATGATTTGCAGCTGGAGCACTTTCTTGGCTTCAAATAAAGCCCTAGGAAGGAAATTTGAATGTTGACGACTGTCCTGACAGAAATCTGAAAGCAAAACCGACCTAAACATAAGAAAATGACGTAAAAATATTACAATGTTAGTTAAGGGTGGGCCTTCTCAGTCAGGCGACAAATCCCCCTCAAGAAAGGATTGTATGGCGCCTCTCCTCCCTTAGCATGAACCAACTCACGCAATCGGTTCGACAGTTGTCACTGCTACGTTTTGCTTGGGAAACGCACCCGTATCATGTGTTTCATGTTTCATGCGGGAGACGCACCTGTGTTAGTCTCCCGGGATTGGGGGGCTTCAACCTTGTCCGTCCAAGTTTATTTTTCCTCGTACTATGGAGTCGAGTTTGTTGCGTTGAAGATAGTAGAGATTTTGTAATACGCCGGCAAGTCGACCTTGTAAGCATTTTCATTTGGTTTTTTGAGAATTCGGAAAGGTCCATCTACTATGCGTCTAAGTTTCCCGAACGATCCTATGGGAATCTTTTTTGGGTCAACTTGATCCACTCTTGATCTCTTTCCAGAAATGTCACTTTCTTCCTTTTTTATTAGCTTGCGCTTGGTACTTATGTTTTTTTTTTTTTATCTCTTTTCCCACCTTGTGTCTAAATATGTTGTACCCCAACAACTGCACTAACCTTTGATGTCATGACTGTATGGCGCTTCTCCTACCTTGCATGAACCCGTTCAAGCAACCAGTTTGGCAATTGTCGTTGTCGCGTCCTGCATGGGAGACGCATTCGCATCATGCGTTCGCGGGAGACACATTTGTGTTCGTCTCCCGAGATTGGGGCTGCTTCGACCTTTTCCATCCAAGTTTTTATTTCCTCGTAGTACGGTGTCAAGCATGTTGAAGGTAGCAGGCATGTTATAATTTCTCGATAATTTGATTTTGTAAGTATTGTCATTTAGTTTTTTGAGAATTTGGAAAGGTCCATCTACTTCGGCAGTGATTGGGAGGCATTTTGGAAGGCTAGCAGCGAGGTGAAGTGGCTGTAAAACGGGCACAACAAGGGGGTGGCTGGATTGGTAAACAACGAACTAGAGATGGTTTGGAAGGCTAGCAGGGTGGAGTGGCTAGAAAAGGGATGGCAGCAAGTAGGGGGTTTAATGGACTGTTCAAATGGAGGGTTTGCGAGTGCTGGTTGGCTGGAGGGAAACGGTCGGGAGGTGGTTTTTGAGGGACAACAACAACCACGGCGATGACGGCAGCGAAGGAAAGGCTATAGGAAACATAGAGCGAGATTCACATTATCTCGTGATGATTTACAGGCGAAGCACCTTCTCGCATTCGGACAACTTTAGGAGGGGAAATTGGATGCCAGCGGCTGTCCTGACAGAAAGGTAAATCAAAAATGACCTAAACACAAGAAAACGACATATGAATATTACTAGGTTAGCTAAAGGTAGGCCCTCTCAGTTAAGTGGCCAATCTCCTTCAAGGAGGGATTATATGGTCCCTCTCCTACCTTATCATGAATTGGTTCAAGCAATCAATCTGGCAACTGTTGCTACTGCATCCCGCATAACGCATCCAGAACAAGACACGCACCTGCATCACTTCAACTCATAAAGAGTAAATATCACATCGAGTGTCTCACTATATTCACACTCAAAATTATCTCACGCTAATAAAGATGTAGCTTGAGTTTTTTGTCTGCTTGGTTTGGTCCAACAGATTTACAAAAGGTAGTTGTTATGATCAAAGCAATCTGACCGGGTGATTATCATCAAATAATGATTAAATTGTAACGGTTGCAGCCTGTATGTTTCTTAATGAACTTCTTTTCTTTGATTTGTGAATCATATATGTATAGTTGATTGAAATAAAGTCTTTTTGTTAACTAAAGAGATAAATTTGTCCCCTTAGACAAACGTCAACCCCAGATCTATAAGGGTTCCTTGTCAGCAATTCACGGTTGCTCACAAGTATCCTTTAGTCTAGTTTGGTTGATTACCTTCTTCTGCTTAGTAGATCAGGGATCATGATAACCCGGGATGACATAACTATGCGATCTTGTTAGGCTTATCGTCATTTTTCCCACAATTTGCTTTAAGCTCAAGGTGTTAAATCATATAACATAAAATCCAATTATAATGTTACTGTATGTTGAATAGGGGTGTCAAAAATTGACTCGACGCACCAACTTGGCTCGAACCTAACTCGAAAAATTAGGGTTCGGATTGACTTGAATAAATTTCGAGTTGGGTTTAGGTTAAAAATTTTAACTCGTTTATTTATTTTTTTATTGACTGATTAATGCGAAATTGACCTGAAACTGATTCACCAACTCTAAATTGACTTGTAAACACCACTATATTGACTCAATTTTGACTCGAATATATATATATTTTTTTGTTAAATAGGTTATACGGGTCGGGTTAAGGTTGGCGGGTTGAAGGCATGTCATGTTTAGGTTGAACTTTCTGATTCGTTTAATATTCGAGTTGGGTTCAGGTAAAAAGTTGTTTCAAGTTAGATTATGCTAATTCTGAATATTTAATGTTTAATGACTACTCTTAATCGAAAGTGCTCTCAAGTTATCATAAGGGGTAATTACTCATAGGGGTTTGCGCTTTTGAGAACCCGAACCCTAGATCAAAAAATCCTCACAATATGAGGGTGAAATCTCTGAGTAGTTTCTTATCTATAATTCAATTTGTCTTCTGAAAATTTAACATGGAGAAACAAATACAAAGCTCTCAACAACAAAGAGAGTCCGAGATGTCTAATTTTTGGACCCCACACACTAAAGCTAATCTGAACTTGACTTGAATCTTACACATGTTGACCTGAACTCAAATTTATTGTGTCAAATTTGAGGTGGATTTTCGTGTTGGGTTTAATATTAACACCCCTACATCACCGTATCAAAATGTATCAGAAACCTACAAAATGATTCAAACAAGGGTGTGGAGATAGTGCCTTAAGCACAAAGCCACTTCACATCTCCATCTCAAACAAATAATACCCAAAATAGTATCCTATAAAGGTCAAATGAAAGGGTGTTGAATCTAACTTTGAACTGGCATTGATATGAAAAATATATATAATTAATGTGAAATAATTAGCATGAAGAAGGTTAGACTAAAGATAACTTGAATAAAGTTATGTGAAAAGATCTATGCAACATAGATCTAAATTCTCATCTACCTATCACACAAAAACTAACAATCCATATCATTCAAAACCATACATGCAATTATATAATAATTTATATCAACAATAACATCTCATATCTCTAAATCTAAATACACCATGCAATTGTCCATCATACTCATGATAAAGACATAATCAAGATCTACCTATTGCAAGAATATGATTATACTTTCCACCTATCTTTGTTATCCATCACTCATTTTCTATGTCTGCTAATTCTACAATCTGCTTTAAATTATTAATATTTGCGAATCAGTTACTCGGTCATCCTTAATTTAATCTACAAAGCATACCTTACAAAATTCTATTTGCACATGAAGCATGTTTAGCATATTGTACAGGTCAAGCAATATGTAAATAAACTATGATAAAGCATGTAAACATTATGCTGCATATAGTTGCAATTTTGCAAGTGAAAATAAAGGCGTGGTGTGGTATGAATGTAGAAAGCAAAATTTAGTGTTATACATGACATTCTATGCATTTCATAAGGTATATGTTTTAGAAAGATTTACATATATACCACTCAATTCCTATGTATTTTTATATCTAATACCCACCCAAACTTCAATTTTTACATACATGCCACCATACCCTATGTTTTGGGTGTTAAGTATTGGTTCCAACATCTACTACACAATTTATTCACTCATGCATTAGAACACTGCAACCAATAATGCATTTTAATTTCACACTCAACCACTAAAAAGTAAAAGGGACATTTACATACATACTACCCAATTTCAATATATTTACTTGTCTAACACCTAAACTGTACTTTTTACATTTGTACCACCCAAATCTTTCATATCACATAAAAAATACCACCGTTTTAACCTTTTTAGAAGTGAAATACACCTTTTTATTGCCTAGGTAAGATGGCAAGAATGTAAAAATTGAAGTTTTTGTGTTATATATGGTATGTAAATTTTCCAAAATAAAAAAACATCACCAAATGGATAAAAAAACACTTAATCAAGCACTATTATGCCTCAAATTTAAAATTTATGTGCTCCTGAAAATCTCCAAGTATATCATGAAACATTTAGATAACTAATGATTATCATGCTCAATAAATGACATTATGGTGATAGCATTACATGGAGTCATATCAACCTCATGTGCCTAATCACTCGACTTAACCGCACATAGGCGGATTCAAACCCCCGACCTTAGGGGACTTAGAAATGACTTTGCAAATGTCAACCAAAGAGTCGGGGAACACGGCACGACTCCACATAAATAGTCAGGGCTGTTTTGACACTTTACTCTTCGGGAATCTATAGGAAATTTTTGAAGTTCCATTATCTTATCTAATGATAAGTCTGATTTTCTTACAGGAACTCAACACGCAAAGACCACCCACTCCTACTCGTGGCCGGCCACAATCTGCGAGCGATCGAAGTTCGCTTGCATATATATGAGGTTTCAATGGTGCTCCACTCTTACCTATAATAAATTAACATTCACCATAATTGGATGTGTTGAGCGTCCGGCTTCAGCTCGAATCTTCGTCATCTCAAGCAATCCCGAGTGCACCTTATTCTGCTGTTGTGCTATGAAATCAGGGTCTTTGACAAAAATGCATTATTATATATCCACAATGATGTATTTATTATTTGCATGAATGTGTCAAAGGGTAATTTTGTAAAAGTATGTGCGTGTATATGCATTTTCAAACTAGAGGTGTTGGGGGTGATTAAGTTGTAAATTAAGATATTGTTGGGCAGTTTATTTTGAATTGTTTCCTTTGAGAGGTTTTTCTGCATTGAGTTGGAGCTTGTAGGAATGAATAACATTTCCAAATTATAATAACAATGAAAGTGTGCGTCATTTTATAAATTATCACTATTATCTTAGGTTTCTGCATATGATTTTTATTTGTTCATCTATTTATTTGGGCGTTTCCACACATACCACACAATTCTTATGTATTTACATATCTAACATCTATAATTTCGTATTTACGTGCATGACACTCAAATCTTTAATACCACACCAAAAACATCAGTCATTAACATTCCAGAAGTGAAATGCACTTTTTGAATGCACAGGCTGATTGCACCAAAATATAAATATTAAATTTTAGGTGTTAGATATGTACGTATTTACGTGCATGACACTCAATTCTTCAATACCACACCAAAAACATCACTGTCATTAACATTTAAGAAGTAAAATACACTTTTTTGCATGCATAGGCTGATTGCACCAAAGCATTGTAAATATAAATATTAAATTTTAGGTGTTAGATATGTAAATGCATAGTAATTGTATGGTATGTATATAAATTTCCCTTTTTTAATTGCTGTCAATTTGTTTTCCTTGCGAACTGGAGTATTTTTCTAATGCAGAGATCTATGTTTGCTATGATGAACATATCATTGATAGGTTATTTTATTTTAAAAAATTAGCTGTATTTATGATTAAATATCGAATGTGTATTTTCCTGTATTATTAAATTTTTAAAAATTGAAAAAAAAAAAAAAAGGTGAAAATAGAGTTTTATATTAGCTTTATTGAAAGATCAGGAATTTGGGGCTGGGTATGTAATTATTCAAGTCTGTTGCTTCATATTTTAAGGGTTCCCTTGTAAGCTCTTGTTTTTTTCTTTCAACTAAGAATGGTTTGTAACGTCAAGAAGCTGCTCCCCGTGTGCCCTGTCATCATACTCCCCGCAACTTCATGATGACTTCCCAATCTGGTTCATCCAAGTTGTCCCAGGTAGAGTTGATGGAATGTCAATCATGTCATATTTTTAGTCCTACCATTCGCCTTGGGGCAGCCTGAACGAGAGAGAATGTCATGAGGAAAATGAGATGCTTATAACAGGACCAGTATCGTCTTGACCTTCCATTATGAGATGGTCTTATAACAGGACCAGTATCGTCTTGACCTTCCATTTTTTGGCATGGGATGAGCTACGTGTTGTTTTGAGATACTATAAATTTGTTCACCGGAAGAAGATGGTATGTTCAATTGAGCTTTTTAGACATCTATTTTCTTTCTTTCATCCATGGTTCGCTTCCACTTTGGCCACCTTGAGAATAAGGTTAAGTACTAGAGGCTGAAGTTTTGCTTTTCCATCTATCAAGACGGTTGGCTGATCCCCACAACTTCAAACGTTGTTCCTCTTCCAAAATCTAAAGGAAAAGTTTCAGCAGAAGTGCAGTAAGAAATCTAGAAGACCTGATGGGAATCTTACTTCTGCTTGCCAAGCTCTTGCTTCGGGTCCGTCGTTGCTTCTTCTTCCATGGCTGAAAGTTTTTCAAGTTTTGATCTAAGCATGCTATACATGGAGGCACTATGCTTACACATGTTAGCTTGGCAGGCTTCTGATGCCCTGACGAGCTCTTGCCGTTACGAGCACCAGAAGTGTCGGACTCTGCAAATTATATATGGTATTATATAAAGATCTAAAGATGCTATCCATGGAGCAAATTATGTTGAAAACACATTTATGTTTAAAAATAATATATAATACCATATAAAAATGAAATAAATAAAAAAATTCATAAAAATAAAAGCAAAAAATAAAAAAATATATATATAAAAAAATCAAATGCATGAGTTTTTCAATCAACCCTACAATTTAAAATTGATATTTTACAGATTTATTAGATTTGAGTTATTTTCAAACACATTGTAAACTATAACTAGTTGCTTCCAAACCGTCAATCATCGCCACAACCACCATCATGCATTATTGTTGCTTGACGGCGCCGCCATCATTGCCACCACTGATCACAACCACAACAACCAGCCACTACCACAATAGTCAGCCACCTTGTCACAACCACAACGACCAGCCACTACCACAATAGTCAACCACCTTGCGAGCCGCCGCCAACTGTAGCTGGCTATTTGCCACCTACAAGCATATTTTTTATTTATTTTATTTTTCATTAAACCAAACATTAAACCAAATATTGCTTGACGGCGCCGCCATCATTGCCACCACTGATCACAACCACAACGACCAGCCACTACCACAATAGTCAACCACCTTGCGAGCCGCCGCCAACTGTAGCTGGCTATTTGCCACCTACAAGCATATTTTTTATTTATTTTATTTTTTATTAAACCAAATAAAGCAATGCAATTTGCATTTACTTTACACTGAACCAAATAATTCAAAAGTATTTCAAATATTTCAATTACATTGATTCTTTCTAGACTGCATTTCTTTAAGCAAAAACCAAGCAGCCCCTGAGAGAGTAGTTTTTGATGATAAATAATTGAATTCTCGTAGGCTTCAACCCCTTCTCCAACTTCTTTTATTCCAATCCCCACAGCCTCCTCTTCCTAAACCCTAACCCTAGCCCTAACCCTAACCCTAACTTTAATCCTCCATAGCCACCTGTATTAACCTAATATGTGAAATCCTAACTGAAAAACAGAGATAATTATAATACATGCAGCAGGTTTGCTTGAAAGCAGCAAATCCTTGTAGGTTAAGTCAAATAGCTCATTACCAGACAGGCCTGCAACAGTAGCTTATTAACAGGAAGTCATAAAACAGTTTTCTTAGTGAAACTAATCTCAAAACCTATCTGCATTAAGCCTACAAAGCCATTTCAGACGAAGTATAACAAAAAACTCTATAAGCCAAACCCACTAATGCATGTAATATTAAGGAAACAACAAACTGTTAAAAAGTACCAAAATAGTCCTTTAACTATTTCCATTGGATCATTTAATTTCCGAATTCTATAAAAGAGCTAAATTAGTCCAACGAGTAGTTTAATTGAAAGTCTCAATTAAAAGAATACAAAGACTATTTTGACATTTTTATAAATTCTGAGACTAAAATTATCTCTTACAAAAAGTCAAGGGACCATTTTAACACTTCACAACCCTAAAATATGAAAATGTCACCTATGTGCTGCCAATGTGGGCTGGGAACTGATTATTTACTGTTGAAGTGGGCTTCCATGGCTAGGTTAGGCCGACGGTTGGATGCACATTGCTCCGATCAAGGCAGGCGAGCATGAGCAACACTTATATTGCCGGCAAAACATCACACATATAACAGAACGCTGATCAAGGACAAGGATTTGGATATGTGGCATGTATTTTGTTGATCTGGGCAACTATTTCTGCAGAAAGATGGATTTTTGAAGCATTGACCACCTCCTTTAGTTGCCAAGATTTGGTTGCTCCGAACACCGCACAGCTGATAAGAGGATGACCCAGCACAAAAGCTGATATATTGCATAGGAACATGCCCGTTAAGACTTTACAAAAAATTTAAAAATATAAAATGTGAAAGCATTACACGAAAATTTACATTTTTTTTAAACTCATATCATGAATTATGGGATGATGGAAAAAAAATACACAGAATTCTGGAATCATTAATTAATATCATACTTCAAGCGGAACATCAAGAAAAGTTATCAAGAGCATAATTTAGAGAGCAAAATTCTTAGCAACCTTATTACCCCTCCTATACCTTATTACCCCTCCTATAAGCCCCGAAATATCACGCAAGTAGCTTGAAAACCTCCCTATAACTCATCTCCGTTCACTTAGTCCCCACAAACCTTAAATTTCACCCATAAACCACATCCGTATTCAGCCAATAACTCTTCCTTACAATTTAACACATCCCTTGCAATATAAACAACCATTAAACCAGCAGCACACTTCCATCTTAGCCACCACTAGCATTATAAAACATCAAACCCCCATTGCATGCACTTAAAGACTAGTCAACCTTTGGCAATTTCTTAACCTATTATTAACCACTCCAAAAATGTCCGCATATTCCATATCATAACTTTATACCTTATGCAGAATTTAGAGAAAAAAAACTATCTCAATTTTTCATGATGCGAAATAATAAATATATATCCAGCTTAGGCTAGCCCTCATACTATTTGAGGGAAATTCAAATCATCATGATAAAAAGGAACAAATAAAAACACAATAATAAATAATTAAGGGAGAATAATTTCTCCCTCTCAAATGTAATAGCGAACCCACGATTTCCTAAACTAGATCAACACTCACTCTCAAATTGGGTTGTATATGTCATACATCCCAAACTCGTTGATGAGATCACTGACGTGGTTCCGAAGAAAAGCCTTGATAAGAATGTCAGCAATCTGATACTGAGTTGAAATACAGCTTTGTTGAGCAACCCCTCCATTTACCTTCTCAGAGATGAAGTGCTTGGTAGTATCTATATGTTTGGTTAGATCATGATACACCAGATTCTTTAAAATACTGATGGTTGATTGACTATCACTGAACATCTTAATAGTGTTTTGGTTCTCCATGTGAAGTTCCACCAATAATTTCTTTAGCCACATCCCTTCACAAATTCCAAGTGTCTTAGCTAAGACACGATACTCAGATTCTACACCGCTTCTTGCCACCACACCAGTTTTTTACTTCTCCAAGTAACAAGGTTACCCCCATACAAATGAACAGTAACCCGTGATAGATCTTCTACCAGTCAGTTCTCTGCTCAGCTAGCATCAATATAGAACTCAATGTCACGGTTCTTAGTCTTCTTGAATATCAATTCACGTACTGGAATCATCTTTAAATACCTCAAGATTTGAATGACCGCTTCTAAATAATCTTCATTTGGATCATTGTTCATGTTGACTCACTACACCCATAGAACAAGCAATATCAGATCTTGTATTTGACAGATAAATAAATCTTCCCATAAATCTTTGATAACTCCCTTTTTCTACTGAGGTGTTATCCTATCCTTTTGATACTCGTCGATTGGGAACCATAAAAGTATCTATTAATTTGCATCCCAACATTCTTGTCCCCTTTAATAAGTCGAGAATAAATTTTCTTTGGAATATGACAATTTTTACAATAAATCTAGCTACTTCCATTTTCAGGAAGTATCTTAAAGTTCTAAGACCTTTTATCTCAAACTTAGAAGTCATTATTCTTTTAATTATTTCAAGTTCCCTTAAGTCATTACCTGTAAAAATAATGTCATCTACATATGCAATAAGAACGACTAACATCCTTGATTTGATTTCACAAACATGTGATCAGCTTGACATTGATAGAACTCATTGAAAATACTAATCTCGGTGAACCTTTCAAACCATGCTCTGGGAGATTGTTTCAGCCCATATAATATATTCTTTAATTTGCACACCACCTGATTATTTGATCTGTTCTTTAACCTTGAAGGTATCTCCATATACACTTATTTCCCCAAGATCCCTATTGAAAAATGCAATTTTAATATCTAGCTGATGTAAATGTCAGTCATGGTTGATTGTCAATGACAATAACACTCTTACTGCGTTAAATTTCACCACTGATGCAAATGTCTCATGGTAGTTGATCCCATAAGATTGAGTGAACTCTTTTGCTACAAGTTTAGCCTTGAACCTTTTTATGCTCACATTTGCTTTGAATTTAACAATGAATACCCATTTGCACCCAGTAGTTTTTTTTTCCCAGGTGGCAGAGTTATTATTATCCAGGTAAAATTCTTTTCAAAAACAAAAATATCTTCTTCCACAGCCTTTTCCAAACAGGAATATATAAAGCCTCTTGGAATTTGGCACTTGCACATTATCTAAGTTCTAAACAAAAAATTTATAAGAGAATGATAATTTTCCATGTCAAAAATTCTTCTATCGGGTATTTTGTGCATTCTTGTGCTCCTTCCTCTTAGTGTTTATGATTTGTTGAACCAACCTGTGTGTGAATACTTGGGTGTGTGGAGTTGGTTCCGGTGATTTGCATTCCTAATTTTGCATGTTGTCTACTACATGCTCAGTTGGTTTTTCCTTATGATGTAAACATGGAGTTATTGGTTCTTGGTGGAAGCCGTGAGAGGATTTAGTGGAGTAATAGGTTCATTTTCAGCTTGAGTTGTGATGATGGAGACAAGAGTAGGTTCATCAGGGATACGAGGGAGATAAGCTTATGGTTCCTGAATGATATTCCAAATATAATATTCTCTCCAACTCTTTCTCTAAATGTTAGATTTGGGGTAATAAAGTTGGTTTTCAAATGTGACATCCATGAAGTTGTAAAATTTTGTGTTTCTGTGAGTAGCATTTATATCCCTTTTTGTTTAAAGAGTAGCGCACAAAGATGCATTTTATTGACCTAGGATCAAGTTTGATCTGATTAGGTTGATGTAGATAAACAAAAGCAATGTAACCACAAATTGTGTAGGTTAGAGGTGGATGCATTTGGGTAGAATTTTAGCAGGGTGTTGATGGATTTGCTAAAGTTAACACAATGTTGAGCATCCTATTTATGAGATAGTTGGATATGAATGTTGCATCACCCCATAAGTGCTTGGGCATATTGTTAGTGAATAGAATTGATAGGGCTAATTATAAGTGGTGTTTGTTCTTTCGCTCAGTTACAATATTTTGATGGGTGTGTCAATACAAGAGCTTACATGAATAATATCATTCTTAGATAGATAAGTGCCAAGAGTAGAGTTGTAATAGTCTTTTGCATATTAATTATGAGAATTTGAATTTTGCTCTGAAAATGTTCGAGAATCATGTTGTGAGAGGTTTTAAATATGCTGACAGTTTTAATTTTTTTTCTTCATGAGAAAGATCCTAGTGATTATGGTGTGGTCATCAATTAAGACGACAAACCACCTAGCCCCATTTATATTTTTTTTCTTTTTGAGGGCCCTTAGATATTACTATAAACCATGAAATGATGTGTTGGTTTGTATTTCAAGCTTGGATACACTTGTCGAGTATGTTTAGCAAGTTGACAAGTTTCACACAGATAAGTACTAGATTTTTTTTATTGATAAATAATTGAGGATAAAATTTATGATATTATAGAAGTTAGGATGCCCAAAATGAAAATATCATAACTTACTCCCATGAGAAATAGACTCAAATACAAGACTTGAATCAAGAGATTGTGAATGATTAGATGGTCCTTTTGAAGTGGAAGTCCTAATAAGCAAATAAAGTCCATAATATAAATCAACACTGCCAATCACCTTCCCGAGTCCATCACTTGAAATTTACACAAATTATGGTAGAATTTAGTAACACAATTCATCTCACAAGTGAGCTTAAAATAGATAGCAAATTGCAGTGAATTCTGGGAACAAAAAAGACAGCTTGAAGAATAAAATTCTTTGTGATTTCACACTTCCTCTTCCTTCAACAGATGAGAGAAGAGTCATTCGTGATTCTAACTAAAACATGGTGTTTGAAATAATGGAATGATTGAAAAATAGTGATATCACATATGATGTGATCATATGCTCCAGAGTCCACTATCCAAGGTCGATTCTTCTTGTAGAAAGAAACAAGAGCAAACGAAAGTCTACTTTGATGTGTTAGAAGACTAGTAGAAAACTCAAAATATTATCCTAAAAGCCTTTTGAGAGTTTCAAGTTATTCCTTGTTGAATAAACTATGTTCATGAAACTTGTTTTCCTTTGATGCTCAATTAACTTGATTTTCTCCAACACTTATGCGTGCTATAATATTCGTGGCGGTAGAGTAATTGATTATCGTCTTAGAATTACACGAGAATTCAGCACACACTTAGATAAAATAAAACCAGTAGAAACACTAAAAATTTTTACATGAAAAACTCATAAAAGAAAAAACTACAGGGTCTGAACCAACTAAAGAGTTCAACTATAAAATGTTGATTACAGTTGTGACCACTTGTCCCACAAACGAGAAATAGTTACAAGGTCTCTCAAGTTACAACGTCGACGTGCGGATGAACTTGTCGCAAGGAAGAGACCACGACCAATAGCAATCGACGGCGGTCGATAGGTGATGATAGACAATGGTCAGCAGTGGTCCATGGCGATTGGTTGTGGTCGACGACGATCGGCGACAGTGGAGAGGTAGTGATTGACAGTGGTCAACGGCGGCATGAGCGATATTGGACTTCAATTTCTTCTTAAAGCCTCAAGTTTTTCCTCAGACCTCAAGCTCTCACCTCCCCATCTCAAGAGAGAGGTGGGGCTTTATTTATAGAGTTTTGGGGGCAATTAATGTAGGAATATGAACCACTTTGATCAAAAGGTCCAAAGAGTTTTCTCTAAGCTGACGGTTGATAGATATTTAAGTTCCTTAATGATGTCAAAATTGAGCGATCTTAGGCCTTTGGATTCATCTTATCGAGACGCTCGATTTAATCATGAGCACACCAGATTCGACATCTGTTTGACTTACCAAATATATCTGAAAAACTTTCAAGTGTGGTTTAATGGCTTGATCTAAGTTTGATTTGACTTGAATTTAACCAAGTTTGATATCACTGGGTCTGTCTCGTAGAATCAATCAGCTTAACTGTAAGTTTGTTGAAATCGAACTTCCTGATGGCTTTTTATCTAGGTTTGAACATTTCTTGTTCAAAAAGTTGTCTCGAGATCCGTCGACCAATAGTAGTTGAGAGGCGTAGGCCATCTCTCGTCAATTGTCGTCGATCACCGTCGGCGCCACTCACTTCTTATAGCAATTCCACCTGCGCACCGACATTGTAACTCCGAAGAGTGACAGAAAGTTCGAACCTAGCCAGATGGAATGGATTTTCGATAGAAAGAAAAAATCTCGAACTCATCGGATTGTTGCTGCAGAACTGGAGGCAGAGAAATTGAAGAGACCCGATCATGAAAATCCAGGCAAAAGGAGCAAGGAGCTAGGAAGGGTCTGCAAATTGCAAGGAGGATTCTGGAAACTGAGGGGAGATCTAAGGTTTCTTCCGTAGCTCTGATACCATGTAAAATTTAGAGGAAAAACTCTGAACTTTTCATTAAGCAAAATAACAAATATATATGCAGGTTAGACTAACCCTCATACTATTGGGGGGAAATTCAAGTCATCGTGATAAAAAAGAAAGAAAAAAAAACATAATAATGAATAATTAAGAGAGAATAATTTCTCTCTCTCAAATGTAATAGTGGACCCACCGTTTCTTATACTAGATATGCATATCAACATCTTACAATAGTCTGTAACTTCTATTTCCATTTATTTAGCTTTCATTAAACCAGTTCCATAAAGAGCTATATCAATTCAGCCCATACTAACACAAATCAAGCTAATATTGGATCTCCAACAACACTACCACTCTAAAGGCTTCATCTCATAAACTCAAAATCAACTCTCCACCACCTCATCCATCTTAAACATCAAAAAGGATAATTTTCCAACACACTCTTTAATCCATGAATCCTTGTCTAGTGTCATTACATGCAAGATACCAACTAGCTCTAGTCTTTGCATGCAACACATATCATAGATTCAAAACTTGAACCACTATTCGACCACCTTCCTAACATTACTTAGCGTCATTACAGGCAAACTTCCAACATGTGTGGGCCGCTATTACTTGGGGTCGACACTCCACCAACATTAATATACAGAACATGCTAACAGTAAAATAAGGACATATTTTTAAGACCGGGACTTTCAAGATTGTGTGGGAGTTAAATAATTGAAAATGAAAGCATTTAGTAGCCCATCCTATAATAAGATTTAGGCAAAAAACATCAATATAATAACCTTCTCTTAGATCTTAGGTTATTGCGGTGATGAGAATTAGAAAGTTTGAATTGATCAAAGCGTACCATGCCAAGGTAGCTTGGAGATGGCATTATTAATAAAGCATAACTAAATCAAATCAAATTGAGCCAACTACCTCAAGGAGTCGGCTCTACCAAATTTCGATAGTGATTGACTAGAGTAAATCATTTTCTTTGGCAGGACGTGATTGTAAACTGTACCGGGGAAACAGCCCTTATCATGCGGGTTGACTGATCACCTATAACATTATCAGTCGGCTACGTCAAGCCAAAACTAATTGACTAAGCATACTCTACCATCTACACCGAGAGGCCAACTGTATGTAGTAGGCTACACCTTTATCAAGTAGACGTCCACCACTTGATTCAATATATGGACATTCTTTGATTTTGTTGTGCCAAGATTCTCACTGGGAGATAGAAAAGAAATTGAACATAACAATAAATAAATTTAGGTGAATTGAACATGTGCAATGACGAGTAGAAGATAAATAAAATGAGTAAACATGCTCATAATGAAAGATTAAAAAGATTAAAAGAAAACACTAAATGTAATATGCTTAGAACCGTAAAGGGAGGCAACACATATGTTACATATTTATACACACTCCCATCTCTAGAGATTACGTATATTTCTAATATAAAAAAAAAAAATCTTGTGATTAGATCTCCTAATTAGATACCTAATATTAATCTTCCTAACATACAATTTTCCTAATATATTACTTTCCATAACATTCCCCTCAAACTGAATCATAGATACTCATCATGTCCAACTTGTTACAGATATAAGTAACCCTAGCTCCATTAAGGGCCTTGTTGTATATGTTCCCTAGTTGTTCTCCAATCTTTACATGAGCAGGAGAAATCAAATTTTTTGAACCTTTTCACAAAAGAAGTGACAATCTATCTCAATGTATTTAATTCATTTATGGAAGATAGAATTTAAGACAATATGAATTGCGGCTTAGTTATCACACCATTGTTTTGTCGGAGTTGTCATCTTAAAACCCATTACAGTCAACAATTGAAAGATCTATATCAATTTACTTCGAGCTTGTGTCATGCTCAATACTCAAATTTTGCATAGGATCATGACACTGCATTTTGTTTTATTTTTGCATGAGAACAAATTGTCACCAACAAAAACACAATATTCAGTAATAGATATTCGACCAATCTTGGAAATTACTCAATCTACATATGAGAAACATTCAATATTTTTATGCCCATGATTCTGATACAAAATACCTTATCCAAGAACTCCTTCGAGATAACATAGTATTTGTACCAAAGTTGACCAATAATGAACTATGGGGGAAGAAATGAACTAATTTATAATGCTAACTGAATAAGCAAATTCAAGCAAGTCACTATGAGGTAGTTTAATTTTCCTACGAACTTCCTATATCGTTCTGGATTATTAAAAGGCTCTCCATCCTTGGTGAGTTGTTGATTAAAAAACATAGGAGTATTGCATGGTTTAATTCCTAATTTCTCAATTTCTGCTAATAAATCCAAGACATACTTCCTTTGAAATAGAAAGATACCCTTCTTGATCCTTGATACCTCAATCCCCAAGAAATATTTCAAGGCACCCAGATCTTTAGTGTTGAACTGATTTTAGAGAAATGATTTATTGTTAAGATTCAGAGCACATTGCTTCCAATAATAATATCATAAACATACACCACTAGAAGAATTATTCTAGGACAGACTACTTGCAGCATGCAGTATCGTCACTTTTACTTTTTTACATCCCAAACTCTTCTAATGCTTGGTTGAATTTCCAAACCATGCTCAAGCACTTTGTTTCAATCCATATAATGAGATTCTCCCTGAGCAACAAACCCAAGAAATTTTGCTCCATGCATACCTCTTCTAAAAGATCACCATAAAGAAAGACATTCACATCAAGTTGAAGCAGGGCGGTCAATTATTCATTGCAGCCAATGACAGAACAAGGCGAACCGAGATTAACATAGTTATTGGAGAGAACGTGTCCACGTAGTCAATCCCATAAGTTTGAGCATAGCGATTAGCAATCAACTGAGCTTTGAGAAGAGCAACAAATCCATCAAAATAAAATTTAACTGCAAGGACACATTTATAACCAACCTTCTCTCCATAAGATAGTTCAACAAGTTCTCGGGTTCTGTTTTCAGTCAAGGCAATCATTTCATCAAGTATCATTGCATGCCACCCATAATGAGATAGGGTTTGTTGAACAGATTTTGAGATCTCAATAGAATCAAGAGAATCAATAAAAGAACAAGTAAAAGATAACTGGTTAAAATTAATATAAGAGAAAATGAGATAGACACATTGACGTCTACCTCTTTGAAGAGCAATAGATAGATCAAACACGCTAGGAAGAGGATTCCTTTAAGCAGATAATATAGTGTCGGACAAGGATCGGGGGGAGAGGTCTTGTAAAATAAACATTAGTGATAGGTGGTCTAGGCTGAGGTGCTAGTGGTGAAAGTAAAGCTGAATCAAAATCTGAATTGATGATACGATACATTAGCAACTCATCAGAATCTTGTGAGAATTTAGGTAATGATGACACCAAAGAATGAGATTTGTTTATGAAAGGTAACTTTAGTAGAAACCATGTGCATGTTTAAGAGAAAAATATTGATATCCTTTTTACAAACCACTTTTCCTAAAAAATGCATTTTAATGACTTAGGATTCAGTTTAGAAAACTCTAAATTGGGGGTTGTTATCACAAACAAATTAGTATACCCAAATACCTAGTTCAATAGGAGAAAGAGGTTAATTGGAAATAATGCTTGGTAGGGTTTCTGGTTTTGTAAAACGGTAAAAAGCATCTGATTGATCAAAAAACATGCAATAGAAACTCTATCAACACAAAACCATTTGAGCACATTAATTTGAAACAAAAGAACTCTCGTCATTTCCAAAAGGTGTTTATTTTTTCCTTTCAGCTACTCCATTTTGGGATGGTGTATCAACACATGATGATTGCTGAAGCATATCAGTTTGTGTCATGTGTGTCAGAAATGGTACAAAAAATATTCTTTGCATTATCATTACTCATAAATTTGCCTGAAACATCAAATTGAGTTTTAAGTTCAGCACAAAAGGATCGAAAATATGTCAATAACTACGTACAAGATTTCATAAAGTAAAGTCAAGTCACACAAGAAAAAACATCCATAAAAGTGACAAAATATCGAAATCCATTAAATGAAACAGGACGAGGTTCTCATACATCAGAATGAACCAGCTCAAAACTATGCCAGACTTTTTATAATTTTGAGAATAGACACAAACGATAGTGCTTAGCAAATTAACACGACTCACAATTTAAAGACGATAATTGTTGAAACTGAGAGTATAACCATTTTACAATTAGTAGTGATGGATGCCCTAATCTACAATGAACCTCAAAAAGAGATAAGATGTTGGAACATGCTATGGATCGAGGTAGTTTGTTCTCCAATAATATATATCCCCCCGACTCTCATCTTTTACCAATAATCTTCTTCATCATAAAATTTTGAAAAAGACAATAAGCACGAAAAATAAGATACAACAATTAAAAGCAAGTATAATTTTGCAAGTAGAGACAATTATAAAAAGTAAACTGAGGATAAAATTTAAAGGCAATGTACGAGTAACATTAATGGTGCCAGAACCAAAAACATTAAAGGTAGATCCATCTGCTAAGGTGATCGAAAAAATATGTTTATGAAAGGTGGAAAAGTTTGGGTTACCTATCATGTGATATGTAGCACCAAAATAAATGACCTATTGTATGAAAAAGGAGATAAGGAAAGTATCATTGATACCTGACTTGGCAATGGCAGTAATAAAGGTAGATTTCTTGGATGCTTGAAACTGGATAAATTTAACATATTCATTCGCAGAAATCGACAGAGTCTGACCTTGGGAGGCCCATTAGCAGTGACAAAGTGAGCAGACTGTGATCTAAAGGCATTTTGATTCTTCTTGAGAAAGTTTTGAACACAATCACTTTGTAAAACCAAGTTCATGACAGTGGTAGCAAACTACATTAAAGCCTTGATTTTTAGAATTTGGAGTTCCGACATACTTTGCTGAGGTTTACTGGTGTTTGCATTTTTCTAGCTAGCAAGAACACTAAGTTGTACAGATGAAGCCTAAGAGCTCGAAATAATGCGTGATACTCTAGTATATGCTTTCCTTAAAGTAGTAACTCAAGGATCAGATACGATATGTGATTTAATGCATTCAAACTAAGAGTTGAGACTAGCTAGAAAATTTAACAGTCATTTGTTCTTGTGAACCTGTTGAATCCAGACATCAACACTGAAAAGCAATAGTGCATTCAATTCTTCATAAACACATTTGAAGTGCATGTGATACGTGTTGATTGATTGATCATGTTGTTCAGCTTGGTAGAACTCCTTACAAACATCAAAGATTCGAGAAATATTTTCTCCTAGAAAACACAAATGCTAATTCCTTCATCGCATCTTTAACATAGTCACAATGAGTGATATAACTAAATTGATCAAGTTTGATAGAATTTCGTATTTGTATCAAGAACTGGGAACCAACTCTTATCCACTCAGAGGTGGCTTATTAATGAGGCGACTCTCTTGAGAAATATTCCTCATGTACAGTCTCACAGTTTTACATCAATAAAAGTAATGGATACCATTTAACTTCTCATTAGTAGTTTTAGCAATATATGAAATCAAACTTTGTCGTAAGATGTTTTGTTCAACGATCATGATTACCACCCAATATTCAACGAGACTTAATCAATGAATCTCAATGATGAGTGATCACGTCGTCTGGTCCGAGCAATCCAATAAGCCAAATTGTTTCCAGATGGGACAGAGGAGATGATACCAAAGTAATTGCAGGAAATAAATGGAAGAACTCAAACTTTCTCTAGAAATCGAGCGGTTAACCGCTTTGTTCGAGGATTGAAGAGACAACGAGCCGGTTCAACAAGTCTTAAACCAAGTGATTTGATTCGACTTCATTTCCATATAGCAGGCAACTTGATCATCAAGTCTGAAATTCCACTTCTGCATGAAAAAAGATAGCATCGAGGGTTCACTGGAGTGAGGACTGCTGCATGAAATCGCATACATTAAGATCAAATGGTTAAATAATTTCAATTTCCATATGCTTGAACCAAACTAAAATCAGTTTGGTCGCGACACATGGTTAGGCAAAAAAACTGAAACTTCTATTATTTAATTATTGTTGTTCAAGCTATGATACCATGTCATATTTGAACACAATTGTTGATCTCATTATACTATTCTTATTTGCACATGCTCGAACCAACAGAAAGATTCTTAAATGCATTGGAACTGCAATATAAAGTGAACCGAATAAAACAGAGATGTATATATATTTACATGCATCACCCAGTTGAAGTTTCGGATGACATACCAACTGCAAGACATGTAGGAGAAATGCCAAACTTTTTGGCAATGACAATGTATTCCTACAAATAAAAGCAATAACTTTTGTTCATTAATTCAACTTATGAAAAAAATGATCCAAGAGATGCAGGGGTTGCTCAAGTAATTCATCTAACAAGACTAATGCAAGAAGAAGGCAAGTTCGCATAGATCAAGCTCAGCTCTTCCAATAAGAATAGCATAATGAGATCATGACGTGGAACTTTATGTAATATTTGTCAGACCAATCGGATAAAAAATGGTCCGTTGCAAAAGGTAAACTTGTGTTGCTTGTGTACAGTCATTTAGTGCATAGAATTATTAGACTTTGAACTTTCAAAAGTGAAGTAAAGCCATTCTTTTTAAATGTAGAAAATAAACAGCAACTCTAAGCTTTGTTTGTTCCCCAAAGGCTCTTATTCATTGAGCGTTGCAAAAGCATATTACCTTATTCATTTCAATTTTCAATTGAATGAACTCAGCAATAGCAAGCTTTGAGAAACAGCTGACATAAAAACAGATATTTATCATAGTTTTCTTGCAGACAGCCATCATCATCATTATCATCATCGTAACTAGCTAAAAGCCTTATCCCAACTATTTGGGAACTGTGTCAGGAATCCACATTTTCATTTTTTTTTTTCAAATATTCAAATATTATTTAAGGTATTAAGCCTTATTCTTCAATAACCATTTTGAGCAACCTATATTTATGAAACCATTGGTTCACCCAATTTCCTACGTAATCCTCTCAGCACTAATTTTATCAACTCATCTAACGAGTGCATTTTATATCCTTCATTGTACATGTCCAAACCAACTAAGTTTTTTTTCAAACATATTATATTCGATTAAAATCATTCAAACTTTTCCTTTAATATAATCTTTCTTTAATTTATCCTTTCTAATTTTGTCACAAATTCACCTTGACATTCTCATTTTATATTGTTCTCAATTAAAAATACTGACTTTTTAGAGCCCAACATTTAGATCAAGATTTTATTAAAAAAATACTTCACTTTAGATCCCAACATTAAGACAATTGCACAAAAATGAGTCAACTTGTATCTTATAATTAAAATATAATTAAAATAAAAATGAAGCATTTAGTATTTGAAAATGGCACCTCACAGTCATGGTACACCCACGAGAACACCCAAGATGACCCCGTCGGAGGAAAAGTTGATTTAGAGAGGAGAACAAGTGGAACCAATCAGCACCCTAAATATGTCTTAGCCGGAAGTGTCACGGATTTGGGCATGTTGAAACAGACTGCACAACTAGGAAGTTTGTCTGTTTCACTGAGCAAAGCGTGAAAATTTGGGTAATAACACATTAAACATTGAAAACGGTGATGACACAAATGAGGATGACCAGCTTCCATCTGAGGAGAAAAAGATGCACATAGTTCCAGCTCAGGCCGTGCGAGAGACTCTAACAGACTTCATAGTGAGTGTCCAAGGCAGTCTTGATTTCAAAAAACTGACAACAGAGGCATGGTAACCCCTGATAAAATAAATTCAGTCCATTAAAATATATAAACTCATTCCCGAGTTGTCCCTTCTAAGGGAGGTCCAACGTGTCAAAAAAGGGACCCTTTTGTGCCACGTCAGGAAGATTACATGGAGTTATTCAGATATTGAATTCAGTTCAGCATGACACCCATCATCAGATGTCTAGACGGGAGGGATGAACCACATGATGAAGATCTGTCTTAGGAGTCTGATGGGGAAAGAAATTTTTCAATGGGTTTCAGGTCCTATTAGTGAAAAGGAAGAGGTCTCTCCTGAGTGATTGTTAGTAAAAGTGGCGCAGTCTGCCATATATTTCACCACAGAGTTGATTTCTCCACATATATTGGCTTATCAGCTACATTTTCCCAAGTACGAGAAGTAGAAGAAGAAGGTTTTAGACTTAAGAGCTCAAGAGTTACATTACAAGTATCTACATATATATGCAGCTCCAACTTATGATGTGCCAAGAGAGGACGCATATCTATTCTATCAAGACATGTTGTGGAATGACAACAAATACAACATCCCGGGGGATTGCAACATCTCTGTTGTCATCAACTTGGCAAACTTGACTCTGTGCTACAAGAAACCAGAAGCTTCAACGAATAAAGTCAAAGCTCCCCCAACCCAGGGAGATTGAAGTAGGAGTTTGGGTCGCGATATTATAGTTGCTATAGTACTGTGATTCCTTTTTCCTCTTTGTCTTTTGTCTTTTTCTATTCTCTTTCTAATTTTATTTCCTTCCTATTCTAACTAATTGTACTTGTTATAAATATGTTGTTTGTTGTCTTAGGGTTAAATTTTTGTCTTTCAAATTTCATATTTCTGTCAGGACAGTTGCCGGCGTCCATTTTTTCCCTTCAAGGGTTGTATTTGAGGGATTCGGTGGTACTCTGGTTATATCTCTCTTCTGAGGTGGTGACTCTCTTCATCCTATTCCCTTCCAAATCCTCATCCGCCGCTCCAATCGTTACATCTCGCCGCAGTCGGCCACCACATATCCCGTTTCTTGTTCTATGTCGCCTCCAACTTCCCAACCGCCTTCCACTTCCTTCTAGCATTGTTGCTGCCCGTCATCAACCTTCCAGCCAACTGTCGCCATCCTCCTCCTAGCTGCTACCGGCTCTCGGTTCCACCTTCCAAGGATGCCAACCAGCCCCTGTCCAAACCTTCCACTACACCGGCAACTACCAAGCATCTCCTACACCTGCTATCCAGCCACCACGGAGCTCCGTCGTCCTCCCCTAGGGTGTTAATTGTGTCGTTTGTCATTTACTTCCTATATTGTGTCGTTGTTTTATTGGTTAAAAGTGTCGTTATTTTAAGCCCCTTTGAATTTCAGCAATATTTTTTTTTTCTATTGTAATTTGGGTTAACTCTAGTATTATAGGGTTAATAATAGTAGTCATATTAATTATTTTATTAAAATAAATAAATGTTATTAAATTTTATTAATTTTTAATAAATAATATCAATGATTAATTAGACAAGCAACTGCGAGAGATTGGGATTGATATTTGTGCAAAAGAAAAAGACAAAGTGAAGAAAGGTAAGGTTTTATGGTTTTATGCCTTGATTATATAAATAATTTTTACTAAAAGTGTTAGCAATTTAATATTAAAATTCTATGAATTAATAATGTTATTATAATTTGAAGAGCAAGGGAGAATCAAACCAATCATCTAAACAGTTTTTAGTAAGTTATGTTAAAATTATTTAAAGTAAATTCCTTTTATAGAATTAAAATTGTATTTAAGTATTATTTTAGGGTTATGTTAATTAATGACAGGAAACACATAAGAGAACAATTGAATTTGAAAGGATCATTTTATAGGTGAAATCAAAGTGATTAATTATTACTTTATTTATATTAAATTAATACTTTTATGTTTTTAAAATGTTTTGTTTTTATGCATATTAAAAAAAAAATTAGAATTCAATGAACATATGTGAAAGTGATTTGCATGTTTTATGGTTTCCATTTTTTTATCTTGTGATACAATAAATAAAATATTAAATGAATTTAATTATGGAAAGAAATAAAATAAAGTCTATCAGGAGTCACATCCTATAGTCTTAACAGAGGATCCTATTGTATTCGTGCACTTTAAAGAAAAAAAAAATAACATGATTGTGCATTTATAGCACAAAATGAAAAAAGAAATAAAATTTATTTTGTTTTTATGATACAAATTAGAAAAGGTTTTGACGGTGCTCCTAAGATGACTTCTAAAAGTAAAAGAAAAAATTAAATGAAAATGAAAATATAATTTATAACATAATTAAATTTCATTTTATAAAAATTAAAATAGGAAAACTTTTACTTTAGGATCAATAATTTTTTTGGAACATGCATATTAGATATTTGCATAATGATTTAATGCATAATAAATAATAGTTACTAAGTTTTTAAAAACAAAACTTCTTCCTTAACTGTCATTTTCAGGAAGAGAATTGATAGATTGATATGACTGATATAAGCTATTTGGTTTAAAGGAAAAAGAGAAGCACAATGATGATAGATACCAATTTATTTGTTACTATGCTTTATCAATTTTATCATTTTACTTGTTTTGTTGTATGATTGGATAGTCATATATATTTGTTAGAAAATTGTTTCTATGTGTATTTTGAATTAATGACTCTTTTTAGATGAATGTTATTGCGGACTAATCTTAAAATTTAAAAATGTCTTTCACCATCTATTCATCGTGCCCGCCTTAGTCAATTCTAATTTCTTGGTCAGAGTCGTGACACCTTTAATGTTGAAGATCAAATAGAAAGAAATAATGTAAAAATGACATTTCATAAAAACAAAGCACATGTTGAGCATGAAAGAAAATTTTCAAGAGAAAGAAAAGTGAACTTGCTATGAAAATTGGAGTCGAAATTAGGATCAATTTTCATTTCAAGTTAACAAAGAATCAAAATTCTCAATATGTAGTTGATCCAAACTAACAAAAACTCTCATAGATGCATGCTTTAATACTGGCCATTTTAGTTTCAAACAATAACGGACACAAGTTTCATACTTTCCAAATTGAACTGGGACAATACCAACATGCAAACCTGTAAGAAGCATGTATGCACTAGCTTTGGGTTGTTTAACACACAATCAGAAGAGTTAATTAGCCTCTCCATTTGAGGTCCACATTATGAATCATTCACTTCTATTTTTTCCTTGTTTCACATGATGTTAGCTTTTCAACTTTGCCCTAATCCTTCTCTTTTGTACTTATTTCCATTTATTATATCTTCCCACATTATTAACATATTTTCTCCATCCATTGTAAATTCCTAAACCAGCCATCACTATTGATTAGCCCAATCTTGCCCCAAGTAAGTGCTACCACAATCTGTCTCGACAACATAGCAAGTACTATTGTTTTTCCATAGAATTGACATTGAAGTCCTTGTGATAACGTTTATCATGATACTAAATATTTTCCTTTTTATTCTTAGCTTAGATTCTTCAATTTAAATCCTCACAGATACATTCACATGTGTAAAATTATACCAGCAAAAGATCATTTATTACTATTACCCTATAATTGCTAGCTTCACATTCTAAATTTTACATATCATCCATACATTTTCTATTTTTTTCTACTATAAAAGCTATGCACTCTGGCTTCAAAAGCTATTCTTTATTGACTTTCATATGAGCTGATTTTCCTTTACCATGTTTTTTTTGAATCAGTCATTAAATATAAGTAAATAAGAAAAAGGAAACAATGCATACATGAACAGCAGCTTTCAAAATAGGATTTGAAAGATTGTATCTAGATTCACCTTCAGAGTACTTTCCTGGCAAAGAAATATAAGCAAAATGAACAATCGAAGGGCTTAATATATTGAATTGAATATATCACTGTTGGTTCAGAACCTTTGTAGATATTGAATCTTGCATCATTTGGGCCAGCATCAGTAGAAAAATATTTTCCGGATAGTATTCCCATGGCCATTGGGCTGTAAGCCAACATGCTAATCCTGTAAGGTTTTCAATAAACAAAAAAATTAATGAGTAAATCAAGGAAACTCCTGCTACTAAGTTCATAATTTCAAATTAATCTAGGCATAGGGTTTTATGGGACATTTACCCTAAGAAAATCCTGAATCACTTGAAGAAAAGAAGTCTTTTAAGTGGTTTTCTTTCGACAAATAGTTAGCCCAAAAACAGCTTCTATATTCTACTCATGAACTAATTGAATCAAGAATAAAGTATATAAAGATACCAAAAAGGTTATGTAAGCCATTCCAAAAGTTAATAGAACCATGGAAACTACTGTTTGGGACTTATTAAACATCTCAAATGTGCATGTCCACAAAAGGGTTAGACGGCATATTTGTTGCATACTAGAAATGATGGGAAGGTAAAGATCTTTACGGCATTTCATTCACAACAAACACTAGCTATATGCACATACACAGTGCAAATTAGATGGGTATTCCTATAAATTATAGAAAACTACTGATACGATGATACAAAAAAAAAATTTACCTTTCATGATGGCAGCACTCAGCTAATCCAGAGTCAAAATTTCGACAAACTAAGTTGTAGGAGTTCTGCGATAATAATTGGTAATTTGTCTTGAAAATCTAATAGGGGATAAAAATATTTTATTGAACAGCTATAGGAAACTTTTCTGACCTGAAGCGACACTATCTTATGGTCCAAGTTACCACCTTTAGCAATTTGAAGAAACTTCATTACCCCGTAAGCAGTTTCATTGCTTAAACCAATGTATCTTATCTACAAAATGAATATAAATATGTTACCTTGTATTATATGACTAGGGGCATTTACAACATATCACACAATTCCGATGTATTTAACATATCTAACACCTAAACTTTGCTTTTCATATTTAAACCACCCAAATCTTTCATATCACATAAAATACCACCATTTTAACTTTTACCACCATTTTAACTTTTAAATTAAAAAGTGGAATCGCCTTTTAATGCACGGGTAAAGTGACATGTATGTAAAATCTTCGTATTTGATAATTCATCCAGCAAACAGCTATATCAGTGCAAAATAAATCTAAGAGCATACCTTACCAGCAGAAATAGCTTTGCCAAGAGCATCAAGTTGTTCCTCTATAGGAACAGAGCTGTATTGATAGCTTGGACAATATTCAGTTTCACCAAACATGGGAACATAACTAAAATACAGAAGAAAATTGCAAGACTTAGGAAGAAAACTTTGGAAAACACAAATTAAATTGTAGAGAACTCTCAAGGAATAGGTGACCCCAATCAACATAAGGTTAACCAGAACCAGAAATTGCAGCATAAGAGAATTACTAAAATATAGAAGCAAGCATACCGGTCAGGCCAATGTATCTGATATAGATCAATGTAGTCGGTCTGCATCCTCGACAGGCTGAATGAAGCAAAAATAACCATTAAGAATTTTGAAGTATTAATGAACCAAACATTATCAATTAAAGAAGAAAAAGAACAAATTAATAAACAACATCCAACCATCCAGTGGAATTTTTCTCACAATCAAATAAATGTATAAAACTAAGATTCATCCAGTGTCATAAAATGCTCAAAACAATATATACATCTCAAAAATTCCATCTAGGTTTGTTCGGGACAGTTTTCTGTCTGCTTTATGTTTTAAACCACCACCACAGATCTGTTTGGGAAAGTATTTTTTTGTTGTTTTCTATAAATCTTTATGATGGGAAACTGTTTTTTTCAACCTAACTTGTTAAGATCTGGTGGTTGTAAGAAAACTATTGTCTGATTTTTTTGTAAAATATATATATTTATAATTCACACCACAATTTTCTAAGTAGTTTCTGCACCACAATTTTACAACCACTAAGTAGTTTCTGCACCACAATTTACAACCATATTTTTAAAAAATTGCAGCCGCCCCAAGCAGACACCCTTAACGAGCACAGTCCCAGGAAATTCTGACATTTAACCCTTTTAATCCTTTATTTCTGTCAAACAAATAGTCTCAAGCTCGACTCGAACAACCTAATATCAGAGCTTTCCATTACTAATTTATCACTCGTTCATAATGCAGATACATATCAATCAAAATGACACAAAACTTCTGTGTAAATCTATATTAACCATAATTTAAATATACACCACTTTGGATCCATTAACATGCTTCAAACAAACAAATTTACAGTCACTATCCGTACACATACAAAACTTACCTAGACCTCCTTCCAAATTAATAATTTGTCACAAGTTGTCACGACTTGGCCCAGTGCTTGTAATCAACCAAGATGGGAACAGACGGTTGGACGGTAAAATTAACTTTTTCTTTTATTACAATTCTATCACTAACGGTTTTCAATCCAAATAAATTGAAAGAGTCAATAAGAAAAATAGTTAAAATAAAAAAAAATAAATTTTTACCTTACCTCTGAGTTGTTCAAGTTTTCTATATACATTTCATTTTTTATTGTTCATCTTTTAATAAAATGATTAAACATGTATTGTTAGTTTAAAACAATAATGAGCTAAAAATGTTCGTAAGTACACATACTTTGAAACCATTGTAACGTAACGAAAATGAAATAATATGCATGTAGGTTAAATTTTAAGTAAATCAATATTAAAGGATTTGATAATTTATGAATCTGATTGAACACGATATTATATAATATTCAATGTGTTTTACAATATCAGTAATACATTTATAACATTTTATATTTATACAACCGTCACAAAAGCACCGTCTAACATTAAACTAATAAAGACACGTCAATATTAATACCTTTCTCAATTTACGTTATGGGTATCTTAGCGTTTCCCCACTAATACCATAAAGCAGTGAGCTCCATCACAGCCAAATATACACATGTAAGCAATCAAAACAGTCAATTTCATTCTTATTTTCATATCATTCAGTACATAATATAATACATTGAATTAAGCAATAAATAAATATATATAAATTTCAATAACATATAATTCAATATGATCAAATGAACTCAAAAAGTAGATAAATCATTTTAATTTTAGTCTTCCAGTATAAAATCCATCTAAACAAATAATAGGATGTATCAGATTTACAAGTACTCGCCTCGATCATAGTTGATTTCCATGTTCTTAACTTTTGTCACCAGTTTAAAATTGACACCTATTAAATATATAGACGTTCACGTCACTAAATTTTATCATATTATTTAATTATGCTTTAATTAGTATTAATTTTTAATTATTATCTTATTATGTTATTATTAATTATAATTTCAATTCTTCAATTTCAAATTTAATCATTGCAATTAATACTAATATTAAATAAACAAATATTTTTGGGAAATAAAACTCTAACATTTCATTACTGTCGTCAACTTTTTTCGATCCAAATTTGAAAGTTATATAGCTTGAATCCAAATTTAATTAAATATTACGTTTAACAATTAATAATAAAACATATATATCAAATTCACAAATTAATATTTCAAAACCCTAACTTATCTTAACCGGTTTGGTTCAGTACTTCTCGCACGAGTCGTTTCCTCCCTCTTGTTCTTATGCTCAAAGTCGTTGACTCTTGGATCGATTCCCCTACATGCCAAGTCTTTTTCCCTCTCCTTATATGGTACGCTAGCTCCTCTCCTTTGCAGTTCGGTTCGGCTAGGATTGCACACCTACAGTACTCTCCTGTTCATGTCTCCCGGTTGCGATATCCTTCTTTCTCTTCGCGCACAAAGGCTCGCTCCTCCTTCCTCCTGCTCAAACCGCACCACAGGAGCTCGATTCTTCCTCTTCTTTTGCACAAGAAACCATCAATGCTCTTCTTCTTCTTCCTAGGTTCGTCTCTCGCGTGCCCTACAAGCACATGAGTCGCCCAAACAATCAAAATTAATGCTGACACCTTTCCTTTGCTTGAATGTGGAGTCATCATCAAGGTATGTGACTTCCTTCATCTCCTTCCTTTTCTTCTTCTATGGCCCCTGCTCTCTTTCTCGCCTCTTCTTAAATGTCGCAAGAGTTGCTCGATATGACTCTCTATAGCATTGCTTGATGTGACTCTCCTGCTCGACACAACTCTCTATTGCTCTGCTAGATACAACTCTCCTGCTCGATAGGACTCTGATGTAACGGTGGCGTTAATAGGAGAAAATAATACCAGGCATTACACAAGTAATGAGCATTTGCATGGAATAAACTCTAATTGGCCAGTGAACTTCTACAATTAATAAACAGTGGTATTAAGAATATTCTTCGATTCAAAAGGGTGCCTGAGATAAAAACAACAAAGGGGCATTTACCTACATACCACTCAATTCCTATGTATTTACACATCTTACACCAATATTTTGCTTTTTACAAAAAACACTCAAATCTTTGATATCACATAAAAAACACTGCCTTTTCATTCATCGGTAAGGTGGTCTGCATGTTCAAATTTTGTTAGATATGTAAATATAAAGGAATTAAGTGGGATGTATGTAAATCTTCCAACAAAAACAACAGGATGGTCAAGTTACAGCTAAAAACAAACCTGCCGTCAATGGCTGTTAAAATGTTGCCAGCATCCAAAGACTTGGGCCCCTCTCGAATCCAAGTCATCTGACCAGAAGGCCCGGCAACCTGAAGATGGACGAAATTAAAATCCTCATTCCAAAAAAAGAAAAACCAGAAACAAGCTAGAGGACTAATAGATGAGGTTATGACTGTTCAGCTATAGGAGAAGATGTAGTTGTGCGGGAAACAGGCTAACGCGCAGGTTTCAAATGGTCATTTAGATATGTCACGAGCTTCCGAAAGGAAAAAAAAATTAAATTCTAGCTATAAGATGTAGAAATGTGAAAACAAGATAGCTTCAACATGCATAATAAAAAAAGATGGTAATGAGAATAGATTTGGAATTAGGGACAATAAATTAAATTACGGCAGGAGCATGCTGCTTGTAGGAATACTAGCAGAGGTAGAAAAAGAACTTATTGTCTCAACGTTGCATAAAAATTCTACCCACACGTAAATATGATAAACAATACGATGCAGGTGCTGACGAAGAGGGAGCAGCAGGAAAATCCCATGTATTTTTTCATCTGGACCGAACCAGTCCAGAGACGGGAGGGCCAATCAGCCGTTCCACTACGGATTAGAGCCTCATTTCCATAGGGGGTTCCAATCTGAGTTATCAAGGGCTTATATATGCGTTTCCTTTGTCTTAGGATTTCAGCTTTCTGAGTTTTCTATCAAGAATGCTGCTGGCATCTCATTGTTCTCTCCTAGGGCTATATCCGAAGGCGAGAAGGTGACCCGGCTCTAACTCGTCCTACGGCAGTGTTTATCTAATGTTTCATGCTTCCCACCACTCCTCCACTGCCACAATTTTCATGGTTGCTGCCGCCACCCAGAAAACAGCCTTTTCGCTGTTTTCCTGCAGCCAACCATTGCTGCCAGCCCTTCCAGCCGCCTCCCGCTTTTACTGCAAGCCCCTTCCGCCACCTACCTAATTGCTGTCGCCCCCCCTCCCAGGCACCTCCCGCCTGCTTCTACCCTCTTCCAGACATCCCTAACTCACTGCCGCCTCTTCCAGCTACCCCCAGTTTGCTGTTGGCTGCAACTCACTGCCACCTCTTCCAGCCGCCCCCAATTTGCTATCGACTCCTCCAGCCACCTACCTACTTGCTGCTGCCCCCTTCCAGCCACCTCGAGTCTGCTGCCACCCCCTTCCAACCACATCCAACTTGTAGCCACCTCTTCCAACCACCTCCAACTCGCTGTCGTTCACCACCCAGCCCAATTTAGCCACTATTTCTCCTTGAACAGCAGCCCCACCGCCTTCAACCTCAACCCTTGTTGAGCTTGTGTTGAGTCTTTCTTATTTCCTAGTTCCAAGTGTTTCTGATTGTAACCTCTATTTGCTTTCCGTAATAATATATGTTTTTCCAGTAGTGGTTTGGGCTTAACTCTAGTATTATTTGGTATCAAAGCTAGCCTAAACCTAGTCCTATCCTAGGGTTTCTAGTATCCTCCATACCCAAACCTATCTCCCCCCCCCACCAAAAATTTTCTTTCCACACCCTACACACCGCCTCCCACCCATCCAACCCTAAGCCCTAACTATGCCGCCAAGAAAACAATTGTCCAAACCTGACCAAGACTTTACCATGGGTGATATACAATGAATACTCCGCCAAATGTTACAACAACTCCAGGTGACCATGGAAGAGGTCACTGTTGATTGTAATAGTGAGATTCGTGGAGAACCAGAAGAGCGCTTATCATAAGGGTGACTTCAATGAAGAAGAGAATCGATCTGGGCATTTCGGAATTTAGTATTAGAGGCGGCCGAGAGAAGAAGTGCCTATCGGAGGGCACAGAGATCTTGGAGTTTAAGGTGGACCTACCAAGCTTCGATGAGACGATGAATCCAGCTGATTTTTTTTAGTGCATGCAGACTGTTGAGAAGATCTTTGAATACAAGAATGTGTCAGATCACAGAATTTAATGAAGAATGCTTCTTTATTGTGGGAAAACATAAAGAGGAAGTGATAGAGAGAATGACGAGACAAAATCAGATCTTGTAGAAAATGAAAAGGCAATGCAGAGATAGTATCTACCCCTGCACTACCGTCAAAATATTTTCATTAAACTTCACCATTTGCAGTAGAAGAAGCTATCAGTGTAGGAATATATGTCATAATTTATGCAGTTCAAGTTAAAATGTGAATTGAAAAAGATAGAGAAGCATTCCATAGATATTTGAGATGTTTGAAGCCTGCCATTAGTAATATGGTATAACTGCAAACCAATTAGATACTGGGGGACGTGCAAACTTTAACACTAAAGGTGCAAAGACAGGAGAGACAGCAGAGGTATCAGCCTCAATTCAAACAACCCACTACAGCAGTAGACCCTAGAAGGAGCAAGCGGGGAGAAGTGGGAAGGACTGGATAGGATATTCATAAGGCTGATCATAGTGGGAAGAAGCTTGAGAACAGTAGCACGCCCGGTACAGTTCCAGCCCTGAAATACTTCAGATGCCACGGATATGGTGACATCGCCTCCAGCTACCAGACAAGTTGTGTGGTGTCATTTACCAAAAAGGGTGTCGTGGAGGAAGTGAGTGATGATGAAGAAGCTGAGGATCGGGGTGAGGAATACCAGTTCCCGGGAGATGGAGGAGAAATGCTCGTTGTAAGAAAACTTCTGCAGACGGAACAACAAAGGGATCGCTCATGGTTGAGGCACAATATATTTCGCACCAGGTGTATGTTGAGAGGGAAAGTTTGCTGCCTCATTATTGATGGAGGAAGTTGTGGGAACTTGGCTCTGCTTTCATGGTAAAGTTGGATTTGGTTGCACAATAACACTCCAAGTCCTATTCTCTGACGTGGTTGAAGAAAGAAAACAAGATACGAGTAGATCAGCATTGTCCGATAGAGTTTTCCATTGGAGATCAACTACAAAAACAGGTGTGGTGTGACGTGGTAGAAAATCAATCTATCTAACAAAACTATTTCAACTAGGCTTCATGATTTTTTCATTTTAGGGAGAGCAGATATTATACTGAAAGCAGATAGAGGTTACAATTAGGGATACTTGGAACTATGAAATAATAAAGACTCAACATGAGCTCAATTAGTGTTGAGGTTGAAGGTGGTGGGGCTGCAATTTAAGGAGAAATATTGTGGTGTAACAAAACTATTGTTCGGTGCCTCCTACAATAACGGTATACTATTGATGAACGTCAATCTTAATCGACAACAAACAAGCAATAGTGATTATTGAGAACGTGCAATAGAAAATCAATGTACTTGGATGAAAACGATGTTCGATTGAGATCGATGAAAAGAAACAAGAGATGGGAAAAGGGTGGATGTTGGCATTGCTTGACAGCTAATGGATGATAGCATATAAATAAAATGAACAAGTGATCGGGGCTAGATGACCGATTGGTGACAAAGGGTAGATAACCAACCAGCAATAGAGGACCAACTATGTCGATATATAGTAAGGGATAGGCAATGTCAATAGTTAGGGGTAAACCCATGTATTATAGAGGGTCGGCAGAGGGTTGAGGGTGGACGGTTTGCCCACCCTAAATTGCAAAATTTTATTAATAAAGAGGAGGCAATTTGATCATTGCCCCTCTTAAATATATCAATTTGCCCAATTATCCCTTGCCAAGGCTACAAATGAACTGAGTCGAGTATGAGCCTATTCAAGCTTAATTCTCATGTAGTTTTATCAAATCATCAATCAGATCTATTGATCAAATGTTTAAACCTTGATAAATAAAAATAATTCAAATAAGTTTAAAATTAATCTTTTTTTTATGTTTTTTTATTTTTTTATAACAAAGATCTAAATAAGAACGGCATGCCCACAAATTGCTAGAAAAAATTGGTTGGGTGTGTTGCTCCTTTAGATTTAAACAACAATATACATAAATCCCTTTCAGACGTGGGAAAAAATACTTTCCATATGTGAAAGCCTCAGAGGGCATGGCGAGACCACGGGTCTTTTCTATTAGAAAACTCTACCACAGTTACATTTTAGGGGCATTTCATACATATCACCCAATTCCTATGTATTTACATATCCAATACCTAAACTTTTATTTTTTCATTTATAACACTCAAATCATTCATATCACATCAAACAAATTACCATTTTAATTTTTAAAAAGTGAAATGCAAAAATTGAAGTGATATGTATGTAAAAATTGAAGTTTAGGTGCTAGATCTGAAAATACATAGTAATTGAATGGTATGTAGGTAAATGTTCCCATTCAAAAATACCACCATTTTAATGTCATGGCACTCTTGTTTTCTTTGCTTAAATAAAAAATTAATTCTACATAATCTTAAGTGAATCAAAATAGTAAATAAAAAAAATATGAAATAGAATTATAGCTAGTCTGAAGGAGTAGATTCATTTATTATTATTTATATATATATATTTATTTATTTATTTAATATTTTTTTGTAATTAGTGTGAGCTTCATAAGAAACTTATAATTTCATTAAATTATATTTAATGTGAAACTTCATGCAAAAACAAGGAATTAATTTAAAATTTTACTTTTAATTAATTTTTTTATTATGTATTGGTTAATAATAAAAAAATTAATTAAATGTTAAACTCATTCTAATCTCATTTTATCTAAATTAAATTATAACTTACATTAGATTTTAAGTTAATATCGAGAACATCTTATTGAGCTTCAAACGATCTTGTTACGATTATAAACGAGTTGAAAAATATGTGTTCAAGCTTGTTCATTTATTAATCAAGTATTTATAAAAATATTCAAGCTCGTTCAATTACTTAATTAAATGAACATAAATGAGCTATGATTGACTAAGCCATGAGTAACTTTTCAAACGCTCGATTCATTTGCAGCCTGCTCAAACTCGCTCTCAAGGCATGACGCATGCCTTACTCTTTGTCTCTCTAACAAGTCAAAATCGTCCTCACCCCGCCCTTCATTGTGACGGCTTGGAATCCTACATAGAAACCTTCCCAGTCATCTGCTCGAAGCGTCGAATTCGTTTTCTAGTCCCGCCTGAAAGTTCCCTCCTCTCTCGACATTCAGTCAAAGAAGCCTTTGGTTTAACTTTACATAGAATATT